CTGCCTGGTCTCCATAGGGAGTTGCTAGACAGCTAGCTACATGGTGAGACCCTGTCTAAATAAATAAATAAATAAATAGAGAGTGGGGGAAAAAAGAATTTTATGGAGCTCTTAATCATATTTTGACAAATGATCCAGGAATGTTTTTATTTTAATGTAAAATATGATCCAATCAAACAAGTTTGTAAGACCTTAACCTCAAAACAAAAGGCAGCGGAGAGTCGGATGGTGGTGGCGTACGCCTTTAATTCCTGCTCTCTGGAGGCAGAGGCAGGAGGATCTCTGTGAGTTCACAGGCCAGCCTGGTCTACAGAGCGAGTTCCAGGGCAGCCAGGACTACACAGAGAAATCCTGTCTCCAAAAGACAGACAAACAAGTGAGTGGGGAGAGGAGAAGAGGAGACAGCAGGCAGGGTGTGGATCAGCAGCAGAGCATTTGCCTCTCGTGCTGGAAGCCCTGGGTTCCATCCCCAACACCTGAGTCTTTTTTTTGTTTATTCAAGACAGGGTCTCTCTGTGTATCAGAGTCCTGGCTGTCCTGGAATTTGCTTTGTAGACAAGCTGGCTTCCAACTCATAGCGATCCTCCTGCCTCTGCCTCCTGTGTGCTGGGATTACAATACATGAGTCTTAAAAAGCTCTTAAATTGGGCACAGTGTCTTACACATGAATTCTTAGTAATAGGGACACTGAGGATGGAGAGTTCAATTCTATCCTGATCTACCCTGTCTTAAAAACAAAACAAAAAATCCTCCAAAAACAGAACAAGGGACTGAAGAGATGGTTCAATAGTTAAGAGTTCTGGCTACTCTTACAGAGGACCTGAGTTTGATTCCCAGCACTCACGTGAGGGCTCACACCCGTCTGTAACTCCAGTCGCAGGGAATCCCAGTGTCCTCCTCTGGTATCCAGGAGTCCAGGCATGCACATTGTGCACAGACATACATGCAAACACAACACCCACACACATGAAATAACAAAATAATTTTTAATTAAAAACTATTCCAAAATAAGTTTAAATATTTTTAAATGTAGCTCACCTCCCCTCTATAATAAGCATATTATATCTAATAAGTAGGAACTCTTGCATCTGAAGTGATTGACAGAGCCCTTGATGTGGACAGGGAGAAGTTGGAGAAAGGGGCTGTTGGAATAGGTTCTAGATTTCAAAACATTAAGACATATGTTAAACTTGCTCTGTGGTGCATGCCTGTAATCCTAGGGCTGGCAAGACGGAGGTAGGAGTATTAAGTTTGCCATCAGCCTCAGCTACATAGTTCAAGGTCAGCCTAGACAACCCCTATGAGCCTTTGCTTCAGTAGATAAAATGGTTCAGTGTTTAAAGTATCTCCACCAAACAACATCAGAGTCCTGATCGCCAACAACCATGTAAAAAGCTAGATAGAGCAGACCTTGTTTGTAATCCTAGTGATGCGGGTAGGGGGAGAAGACACAGGCAGGCTCCTGGACTCAGACAGTAGTGTGGAACAGCTAGCTGGCTGGCATGTGCTGATGTAAGTCTTGTTTTTCATTTAAGCATAGCATAATGAAGTAGGAGCATTTTTGGAACTGAATGAAGGGTGTTCAAGAACTGGGCCTTTGTGGGGCTAGATGGCTCAGTGGTTAAGAGCACTAACTGCAGGCCGGGTGGTGGTTGTGCACGCCTTTACTCCCAGCACTCCAGAGGCAGAGGCAGGCGGATCTCTGTGAGTTTGAGGTCAGCCTGGTCTAGAGAGTGAGATCCAGGACAGGCACTAAAACTACACAGAGAAACCCTGTCTCGAATCTGCCGCCCCACCCACCTACCCCCACCCAAAAAAAGAGCACTAGCTGCTCTTCAAGAGGATCTGAGTTCAATTCCCAGCTCAGCAACCACAGGTGGCTCAAGGCCACCTATAGTGGGATCTGAAAGCCTCTTCTGGCATAAGGTCGTACATACAGACACTCATACAGGTTTACTCTGTGTGTGTGTCTATTGGTGGATATATGCATGTAACCATGGCTGCTGGAAGAGGCCAGAAGAGAGTGTGAATCCGCTGGAACTGGTGTTATGGTGAACCACGCATAGTGAGTGCTGGGAACAGAACTCGAGACCTCTGGGACGGCAGCAGGTGAACCATCCCTCCAGTGAGCCATCCCCTGACAGTTTATTTGTATGCATTCCACCTGGCTCCTAAGATATTTTTAAATATTTATTTATTTGTTTATTTTATGTATATGAATGCTTTGTTTTCATCCATACCAGAAAAAAACATCAGATCCCACTATAGATGGTTGTGAGTCACCACATGGTTGCTGGCGCTTGAACCCAGGACCTCTGGAAGAGCAGCCAAAGCTCTTAACCGCTGAGCCATCTCTCCACCCCTTAAAATAATTTTTAATTTTATCTATTTACTATTTATTTTTGGTATTAGAGATGGAACCTAAGGCCTTGTAAATGCTAAACAACATTGTAAATAATCATGCCACCAGCCCCTCACTGGGGATTCTAGTCAAATGCTTGACCATCAAGCCACATACATATCCAGCCACATACATATTCTGCTGTTTTCTTGTAAATATCAATAACCAGATAACCTGTCCTGGGTCTCACTCTGTAGACCAGGCTGGCCTCGAACTCACAGAGATCCGCCTGCCTCTGCCCCCAAGTGCTGGGATTAAAGGTGTGCACCACCACCACCCAGCTCCCTTGGGCCTTTCATAGTCTGTTTGCCATATGGAATAACAGTCTAAGGTTCCAGTGAGTAGAGTGTGGACATCTGCTTCCACAGTGTAGACACAGAACAAGGAGCAAGGATTCCAAGTGGCTTAGCCAGTGTTCTATTGCTGTGAAGAGACACCATGACCATGGCAACTCTTACAAAATAAAACACTTAATTGGGGTGGCTTACAGTTCAGAGGTTTAATCCATTATCGTCATGGCAGGAAGCAAGGCAGCACACAGGCAGACATGGTGCTGGAGAGGTAGCAGAGAGTTCTACATCTGGAGTCTCAGGTAACAGGAAGAGATGAGTCACTAGCCTGGCTTGAGCTTCTGAAACCTCAAAGCCCACCCCCAACTCCCCAGTGACATACTTCTTCCAACAAGTAGGCCACACCTACTTAAACAGGCCACACCTCCTAATAGTGACATTTCCTATGAGCCTATGGGGGCCATTTTCCTTCACATCATCACCACACTGAGCCGTGCATGGGTGCCACAGGAAGGTGGGAGGGAGCGTGCTGGGCAGGACCATAGTCCTGGTCCGTGCAGGACAAGCGACCTACTCTAACCTTTGAGAAAAGAAAAAAAACCTCGTGTCAAATGGTAACACGGACTTCACGCTGATGAAGTGTTTTAATGTCATTTGAGGCTCGGGTTTGACACACAGCTAAAGACACACAGGGAAGGAGCCAGCGGAGTCTTGAGGGGCAAGCCATTATCCCAGCTGCTCTTCAGGCTGACGCCAGAGGATTGCCAAGTCAAAGCCCACCTGGGCTACAGAATGAGTTCAAAATCAGCCTGGGCAACTTAGCAAGACTTTGTCTCAAAATAAAAATGAAGACCAAGAAAGGACCGGAGAAACAGCTCAGTGGTAGGGCTCTCCTCTCGTCACATAGACTTTGGATGCTCTCCTCCATCACTCTCAACATTATTATTTGGAGACATTGTCTCTCACTGAACTAGAACCCACACTCAGCTAAACTGGTTGGCCAGTAAGTCCAGGGATCCTGCTATCTCTGTCTCCCCAGGGCTGCCATGAGCAGATTTATACGTGGTCTCACTATGTAGGCCTGGAACCTTGTGTGTGGATCAGGCTGGCCTCAAACCCAGAGGTCTGCTTACCTCTGCCTCACGAGTGCTAGTACTAAAGGTGTGCGACAGCACACATAGTTTCATAACTGACTTTGTTGGAGGTGGGGGGCAGAGGCAGGATGATCTCTGTGAGTCCCAGAAGGACATAAAGCTGGAAAGGGAAATGGCCAAGTTTAGTTGGGAATTACATCTTTTGGTCCAGGTCTCCATTCCGCCAGCAGAGGGCGTGAGGGGTACCTTTCCCAATAGTGGCTAGGTATCAATGCCCTTTACTACCTACCACCCTACCCCATCAGCTGGGACTATTTTTTACCCAGTGTCATTAGACACCGGCGGCTGGAAGCCCATCCTCTGTTTGCCCTTTGGCTCCTGATAGTGACCCTGCGCATCTCCCCGGCCAACTCCAGACCCTTCCCAGCAAGCCCCGCCTCCTTTGCCGCCGTTCTTGGCTTCAGCCCAGACCTTCCATACTAATCTCAAAGCACTTAGAGACATTCTAAGTTCAAACTCTGGTGCTTTCAGTAGCCAGGGATCGGGCGCACGTACGTAACAGTTCACAGTTGCGAAAGAGGCCCCGAGAATTCGGCGAGCACCAGGACTTGCTGCAGAGCTCCTTAGGAGTGATGGTCAGAAACGCAGAGGAATAAACACAACACTCCAGACACATTCATTGAGAAATACTAGGGAAGAAAGAAAGCCAGCAACGAAACCGGGCGTGGTGGTACACATTTGTCATTCCAGCTGTTGGGAGGCAGAGGCAAGAGGCTTGCAAAACTGAGGCCAGTCTGAGCTACATACCCAAATCCACTGTCAGTAAAAAGTAAAACAATAAAAGGCAGACAGATACAGAGGCTCCCAGCCAGAAAAACAGATGTGAGCGGCGACTGGGAAAGCGGATACATTCTCCCCCAAGATGGTAACCTGGGAGGACAGACTAGAGACAGAGGAACTGGAACTGGAAGAGGGAAACACGCTGCAGGTAGACGCCATGGCTCATGACTGTCATCCCAGCAATCCGAAGGACGAGGCAGGAGGATTGCCACGAGTTCGCGGTCAGCTTAAGTTACAAGCTGAGAAGATCGTCTAATAACAAACACATAAATAAATAGCCGTGATGGCATACACCTGTAATCCCAGTATTTGGGAGGTGGAGGCAGGAGAATCATAAATTCAAGGTCATTTCAGCTACACAGTTCTAGGCCACTTTGGGCTACTTAAGATCCTGTGTCATGAAACCAAAAGCCAAACAAATAAAATAGGTGACTACAAGGGAATGCTCCTGAGACCCACGGAAACGCGGGTGGCCGTGGGGAGGGTCAGGTGTGGCAACAGCAGAGGGCGCCGTGCGCCCCGCGGGGTCACGCCGCCCCCTCCCCCGCGCCCTGGCCGGACTTTCCATGCTATTTTTACGCGCGGACACCGGACACCCGGCTGGGCCGGCTGCGGCACCGGGGCCGGGCGTCGGAGCCACACGTCCGTCCGCCGGTCGTCCGAGCTGCGCGCGCTATGGAGCCGGGGTGCCCGCCGCCCTGCGGCTGCTGCGAGCGGCTGGTGCTCAACGTGGCCGGGTTGCGCTTCGAGACCCGCGCGCGCACGCTCGGTCGCTTCCCGGACACGCTGCTGGGGGATCCGGTGCGCCGCAGCCGCTTCTACGACGGCGCACGCCGCGAGTACTTCTTCGACCGACACCGGCCCAGCTTCGACGCGGTTCTCTACTACTATCAGTCGGGCGGACGGCTGAGACGGCCGGCGCACGTGCCGCTCGACGTCTTCCTGGAGGAGGTGTCCTTCTACGGGCTGGGCGCGGCGGCGCTGGCACGGCTGCGCGAGGACGAAGGCTGCGCGGTGCCACCCGAGCGGCCGCTGCCGCGCCACGCCTTTGCGCGCCAGCTCTGGCTGCTCTTTGAGTTCCCCGAGAGCTCGCAGGCTGCGCGAGTGCTCGCCGTGGTCTCTGTGCTCGTCATCCTCGTCTCCATCGTGGTCTTTTGCCTCGAGACGCTGCCAGACTTCCGCGACGACCGCGACGACCCGGGGCTCGCGCCGGTGGCGGCTGCTACTGGCCCGGTGAGGGGCGGGGATTTCGGGAGGGCCAGGGCGGGACCTTGGAAGACCTGGCCAGCCAGAAGGTGCGGCAAAGGGCAGGAGGATGGAAGCACTAAAAAATCCTCGAAACAAACCAATAGTGACTGAGGATGTGCCTCAGAGGTAGACAACTTGCCCAGAATTGCTCAGTGAGGGACTGGGATGTGGCTTAGTGGTAGATCTTCTGTATACAATCACAAAGTGAAGGCTGGGGTTTGTGTGACCCTGTGGTAGAGCTGCAGCCTCCCCCTACACTGTGAGGGACCTGGAGAGATGGCTCAGCTGTTAAGATCACTGACTGTGGACCTAGATTCAATTTCCCAGCACCCACATGATGGCTCACAACCATCTGTAACTCCAGTTCCTTGGGATCTGATGCCCTCTTCTGGCCTCCTTGAACACCAAGGCACACACGTGGTGCACAGACATGCATGCAGGCAAACCACCCATTCACATAAAATAAATAAATAAATAATTTAAAAAAGAGTCCCCCAGTGAGGGGCGTGGCTCAGAGATAGAGCCCCTGCCTAGATTCCCCAACTGAGAAGCTTGGGGGCAATGCCTCGGTGGTAGAACTCCTGCCTAAAATCCATCAGTGAAGGGCTGGGGGCATGGCTCAGTGGAGAACAGCTTGCCAAGCATTTGCAAGGCCCTGGGTTCTGTTCCTAGCAGTGTGAAATGAGCATGTGGGGTCAAAGAGGCTGGAAGACTGCAATGCCTGTGCATCTGACAGGGAGATAGGAAAGGTGGATGGTCAGGCCAGGGTCTACTGCTGGAGCATGGTAGGTTGAGGTTTAGGACTGAGACCTGAAGTAGCAGGAATTTGCACAGAATCAGGTTGGGGTGTGGAGCTGAGGGCCATACACCAAAATCTGTAACCATTCTGAGCCATTATAGTCTGGGCTGGGTTGAAGGCGACAGGAAAGGCTAGGCAGGCAGAAGGCAGAACCAGAGCGGGGTCCTGCCCTTGGAGATTCAATGTGTGTGTGTGTGTGTGTGTGTGTGTGCGCGCGCGCGCACGCAAAATACTGGAAGGAAAGATTCTCCCTGATCAACCATGAAATCAGGAGTTCCCAGCAGTGAAAGAGCAGGGACTGTATTTTGGTTTATTTAAAGAATTGGGGCTGGAGAGATGGCTCAGCGGCTAAGAGCACTGACTGCTCTTCCAGAGGACCTGGGTTCAATTCCCAGCCCCCGTATGGCAGTTCACAACTGTCTGTAACTCCAGGATCCAGCACCCTCACACAGACATACATATAGGCAGAACACCAATAAAATACATTTTAAAAAAATTATAGACATGGGAAAAATAAGTTATAAACAGGGTCTCATTATGTAGCCCAGGGTGGCCTGGAACTTGCTATATAGACCAAGAATGGACTTAAACTCACAAAGATCCAACTGTTTCTGCCTTCTGAGTGCTGGGGTTGAAGATGTGTGCTATGGCAATTGACCCTGTTTTAATTTTTGATGTTCTGTGGTGGAACCCAGGACATTGGGCAGGCACTCTACCGCTGATCCAAACCCCCAGCCCCTCACTGGGTGATGCTAGACAGGAGCTCTACCATTGAACCACACCACTAGCACCTCACTGGGGGATTCTAGGCAGGAACACTATCACTGAGCCACACCCCAGCCCCTCAGAGGAATTCTAAGCAGGGGCTGTATCAATGACTGCATACATCCCTTTTATTTTATCTTTAAAGATTTATTTATTTTATTTTATGTATATGGGTGTTTTGCCTGAATGTGTGCACATATGCACCACGTGCGTGTCTAGTGCAATGGGTCTCCAGAGCTGGAGGTGCAGACAATTGGGAGCTACCATGTAGATACTGGGAATTGAGCCCAGGTCCTCTAGAGGAGCAGCCAGTGCTCTTAACTGCTGAGCCATCTCTCCAGCCTCTCACTTTTTATTTTGAAACAGAATCTCACTAAGTTACCCAGGTCTGCCTTGAGTTTACTTCTCCTGCCTCAGTCTACTGAGTATGACAGACTTGGACCACCAGGCCCTTGAGACACGATCTTTTTGCCCAAAGGTCTGAAGAACAGAAAGTCAGCCATCCAAAGAGAGTCCCTAGGGTCCTGGGTTGTACAGGACAGTCAGACCGCTGGGGAACCTTGGGAACATGGCTACTCTACTTTGATACTGAAGCAGTGACTACAGGTGTTGGCCCGTCTCCCTAACCCCTCTCTGTCCCCTCTGCAGTTCCTCACTCGGCTGAATGGCTCCAGCCCCATGCCAGGGGCTCCTTCCCGTCTGCCCTTCAGTGATCCGTTTTTTGTGGTGGAGACCCTCTGTATCTGCTGGTTCTCCTTTGAGCTGCTGGTGCGTCTGGTGGCCTGCCCAAGCAAGGCCGTATTTTTCAAGAATGTGATGAACCTTATCGACTTCGTGGCCATCCTGCCTTACTTTGTGGCGCTGGGCACCGAGCTAGCCCGGCAGCGGGGTGTGGGTCAGCCGGCCATGTCCCTGGCCATCCTAAGGGTCATCCGATTGGTGCGTGTCTTCCGTATCTTCAAGCTATCCAGGCATTCAAAGGGCCTACAGATCCTGGGTCAGACGCTGCGGGCCTCCATGCGTGAACTAGGTCTCCTCATCTTCTTCCTCTTCATTGGTGTGGTCCTCTTTTCCAGTGCAGTCTACTTTGCTGAAGTGGACCGGGCGGATACCCATTTCACCAGCATCCCAGAATCCTTCTGGTGGGCAGTGGTCACCATGACCACAGTTGGCTATGGAGACATGGCACCCGTCACCGTGGGTGGCAAGATCGTGGGCTCTCTGTGTGCCATTGCCGGCGTGCTCACCATCTCTCTGCCTGTACCCGTCATTGTCTCCAACTTCAGCTACTTTTATCACCGGGAGACAGAGGGTGAAGAGGCAGGGATGTACAGCCATGTGGACACGCAGCCCTGCGTCACACTGGAGGGCAAGGCTAATGGGGGACTGGTGGACGCTGAGGTCCCTGAACTCCTGCCGCCACTCTGGCCTCCCGCTGGGAAACACATGGTGACCGAGGTGTGAGGGACAGCGGGGGTCTTCAGGAAGCAGTGGGCGGGAGGGAGGAGGGGCAGGTGCTGGGTTAAGGAACAGAGACTGAATGTGGAGTTATGTCACGTGGTAGCTCCTCGGGGGGCCTTAAGTAGACATGAATGGCCAGGGTTTGCATTGAGTCCAGGGGGTCCCCATCGGTTGTTCAAATCTACAGGACCCTATGAGTAGCACTAAAAGAGGCTTGTCATGGTTGTGGGTTTCCTGGGTCTATGTGGGGTCTCATTCAAGTATGTGATGAGCAGTCGTGTGGCTTTGCGTCCCCTAGGGCCACGTTGGCTCCACTGTTAAGAGTGATCATGTGGCTGCATAGTCATGCACAGAAGTTATGTGGAGATGCACAGAAGAGTGTATGGATTCGTGCTTCTTCTAGGACCCACGTTATTTTAGGTTCTGTGAGCTATGGAGCCTTGCAGACAGAATGGGATCACCCTGGGTCCTGATGGGAAAAACTGGGTTAGAGTATAAGAGAGGAGGAGGCTGAGACCCAGAGAGTGAGGGACAGAGACCCCCCAAGCGACAGTCTCTGCATTATATAATGTTGTAGGGCTGGAACCTGTTTAGGGCCATGCAGAGCTGAGATGTGTGACAGTGTGAGTCTTCTAAGGGCCATACAGTTGAGTCTGATGACTTCTTTGGTCTCATGGGACCATGCTGACTCCTGTCACTGTGAGTCCTGTGGGAGTGTATGTGAGGGCCATACGACCATAGGACCATGATAAGTAGTAGCATCAGGACCCAAGAGTCACAGCACAGATAAAATAACTGCAGGGGAGCAAGCATGGGCACGTGGGTGTGTGTGGCCCACTGAGCAAGCTTGCTCGGGGCTATGCACTCTAGCTGGCAGCTTCTGTCTCCCTGGGTCCCCTGCCCCATCTATCTGGAGAGGCTCTGTGGGAACTAGTAGTCAGCTTACGTTGCTCATTTGGGACCCGGGGCTATGCTGCCCTGAGCTGTAGCACAGAGATTCAAAGGCTGGAGCTACAAGGGAAGAAAAACACAGCGGAGAAAGAGTAGGACCAGGGGGACAGAGACCTAGAGAAGAGAGAGGAGAGAAAGGAAGGGGTGGGAGAGAGGAAAGGGAGAGGGAGGGAGGAGGGAGAGAGACCCAGAGAGAGGAAACCAAGAATGAGGGATGGCACAGAGTGGTGGATGTCAGACATGCAGAAAGAGGGAGAGATGTACTAAAGAGAAGAGAGAGAAAACAGAGACCATGTCGCCTTGAGCCCAAGGGTCACCCTTTCTGATCTCTGAGTCATAACAGACTCTAAGCCATGGCGTCAGCATCCCTCACAGCCAAGGAAGGTCACCACACTCCTGGAGGTGCTCTGTGTTTCCTAGGGCAGAAACCCAAGGCTGTAAAATGCTGTGGCTTCCCCCAAGGTCACACAGCACGTCAGAGGGCCAGGACTGGCATCGGCCTGCCTGTTCACCCCCACAGCTTCTGGTATGCAGGTATTACCAGAGGCCACTGGTCCTGTGTCTTTTTGTTTCGTTTTGTCTTTGGAGACAGGGTCCTTCTATGTAGCTCCTGGAACTCACTTTGTAGACCAGGCTAGCTTTGAACTCACAGAGATCCTCCTGCCTCTGCCTCTCAAGTGCTGGAATTAAAGGTTTGGGCCACCACCGCCTGGCAAGGCCCTGCATCTCATAGAGGAGGAAGCTGATATTGGAGGGAGCAGTATTATCCTGGGCTACTGAGAGAAATGTTTTTGGAGTCTTCTGGGACTGAGAGACAGTTTAGGGAAGAGGAGAGGTTACAATTACTAACAGAGATCAAGGTATATGACTGGCATTAACTTATTAAAACCTGTTCACTGGTGCCGAGTGTTGAGTTATTTTTGATAACGATGTCACCTGCTTCAGTCACATGAAACTCTTGCTTAAGACCAGAGGGTAAGGCATCTCAGGGGGGCTGCTGGGAGGATCTGCCTCCTTTGAGACATCAGACATCAGGGAAAGGATGTGAGACGAGGCCTCTTCATCGCCAGCCATCCTGCTATACAAGAGAGAGGAGGGATGGCGGAGAGGGCCTGACGGTGCTGGACATGATAGAACCTCAGGGTGGTCGCTTCTCTTCTACATAGACTCACATTCAGTCATAGATATGGAGACTGACCTGCACACAGGCACCAAAGACAGAGATGTAGGGCACGGAGTCGATCACAGAGGACATGCGAGAGATGATGGATCAGACAGAGGCCGGGCAGAAGAGAAGCAGGGTTCAGAGAGCAAGGAGATGGGGGGGGGGGGGGGGGGGGAAGAGACCAAGAGACAGAATTTCCCTGTTCTTTACAGACTTCGCCCTTGAGACTGGAGCTGGAGTCCCTTGGTAGGGATGTCAGCAAAGAGTGAGAGGTCAGAGGGGTGACCCAAATGGACACCCAGGCTAGGAAGTGTCCCTTCCCACCTCCAATAAACAACTGGAGTGGGCTCTGAGTCACCCTGGCTGGGATGGCAACTTGTGGGGAAAACCCTAATCTGGGGACACCCTTCCTGCCACTTTGCCATGCTATATATAGGTTGGGGGGGATGGGTGCTGGGTGACCCCCCCCCAAGGCAAGTGTCAGCTTTCCTCCTAAATATAGCTGGGGGTAGGGGAGCCAGAGTCTCACAGAGGCCATGGGAGAGCAAAGGGCCACCCTAGGGACCGTCCAGCTGCAGTGATGCCGGCCCTGCTTGAGGGCTCTGCTGCCTTTCTTTCCGAGGTCCACTTCTTGGACTATTTCCCTCCCTCGGGGGCTCTGGCTCTTCTGGCTCAGTTTTTCTCCCCTCTGTCTTCTTTCTCTTCACTATGGGTCACAGTTGACTGTTTCGCTAGACAGGTCACAGTTCTCAAAGCCCACCATGTTCTCCTCGCTCTAATTACCTTGAAGTTTTCTTATCCGCCCCGAGACTCCCTGGTCCCCAGCCAGGAAATTCCAGGATAGGAGACTATGTGGGGAGCCCCCACAGTCACTGTCTCCGGCGTTGGGCCTTATCGCTGCTGCACGAGCCCAGCTGGCTAATGTCTGGCAGGGAGATCCAGGAGGGGAGACAGGAGCAGAGGGTGGGAACCTGTACTAGACACCATAGCAATTCCAGGCCTGAACCGGGGACTGGTGGAAAAGACTGGGGCCTGGACCCCTCTGTCTGAGGGAGGAGGGCTGGGTTCTGAACACTGGGTCTGAACCCCTGTGTCCGAAGAGGGAGGGCTGGAGCCTGCACCCCTAGGTCTGAGAGAGGAGGGGCGGGGTCTGGACCCCAGTGTCTGATGGAGGAGGGCTATAGCCTAGTCTCTGGAACTGAAGTTGCCGAGGCCCGGCTTCCGAGGTGCCGGCCCGCGCGGGCTAGGCGGGATCCCCCGCCCCTCCTGCGCCGTCGGGCGCCGCCCCGCCTCCTCCCAGACCCAGGCCCTCCCAAGCGCAAACGGCGAGTAGCCGGCTAGCAGCGGGTGTCCGAGCTGCCAGCGAGCCGGAGGAGGAGCCGCGGCGGCGCCAAGGGCAGCCAGGGAGCAGAGAAGGGCGCCCCAGGTAAGCGCTCCGCGCCTCCTCCGGCAGATTCCGCCTTCCAGGTCGCCCAGCCCCCGGGTAGGGAGGGACGGGGGCGGGGCCGACAGGGGCGGGGCTTGGCGGAGGAAACTGAGGCAGGACGGAAGTGTCCAAATGGTAGAACCGATCTCCTCCAACCGACTCAGGAGTAGGGATCCCTAGTCCAATTTTCCTGGATGGAGAAGCAGGGCGTCCCCATTTATAAGCACCTTGGAGGAGCGGCCGCAACCCCAGAACCTGTGGGTCTGAGGGAGGAGGCGGCCGGAGTCCAAGAAACCTAGTCTGCAGGGGGAGGCATCTGGGGAACCAGAACACCCTCGCTGAGGGAGGATGGTTCTGGGGCCTTGGACCCATGGGTCTGAGGAAGCAGGCAGCTGTGAACCTGGACACCTAGTCTGAGGGAGGAGGCAGCGGGTACCCGCACTCCCTGTGCTGGTGTGCTCAACCTCTGCCCCTGCTCACACTCCACACTTCCCATTCCCCCGTCTCGGAGCCTGGCCAGACAGACACTCCAGGTATGCGCAGTCGGAGTCTTGGGCGGGCCCTGGCCTGTCCTGCGAGGAGCGAACATTCCAGGAAGCAGCCTCAGGGACCCAGAGCCCTGAGCGTGGGCCGGCAGGGACCCGGGTGTCCAGGCCAGCCCCACCCCCGCCGCGTCCGGTGGAGGAGCGGGAGGAGGGGATGGAATCTCTTCCAGTCGCCTCACCTGCCCCTCCTTTCGGCACCCCACCCCCATCTGCTTCCCATCCCTCCAGAGCTGACACCTGCAGCGGGAAGGGGCCTCTGGAGTGGGCGGGGCCTCTACTCCAGGGTACCCTAGGCTGGCAAAGACTCTGGAAAGGGTGGCATTTTGGGGGGGGTGGGGGCGTGCCCTTCCCCCATCTGCCTATGTAACCGGTTTCCTTCCTCCCACAGGTGGTTGCCCCCTCCCTCTCCTGAGATGTCAGGGAGGAGACTACCTGTATCCTACACAGGGGCCCCACAGAGCTTGGGGGCCCCCACCCCCAGAGTGAGGAGGTGGAGGTGCTGCTGACAGGTCTGGTATTCATTCATCTGCTGCTTTCCAGTCCCGGGCCAGCTTCTAGAATGTTCTAGCCTCTCCATCTCCCTCCCAGCATCTCCCAGCACCTGGGTCAGTCTCACACTCAGGGGTTTCTCTGGGTTATAGGACACGAGGGCCAAATGGCATTGCCCAGAATCCAGTCCACGCCACTTGCTGGCTGTGTGACCCGGTAGAAATCATTTCTCCTTTTGTTTGACTGTACAGCCCTGGCTGGCATGGAACTCACTGTGGGAACAGGGCTGGCCTCAAACATGTGGCCATCTTCCCGCCTCTGCCTCCTGGGTGCTGAGTTTACAGGTGTACATCACCACGCCCAGCTTTGGCTGTTCATTCACACCAGCTGAATAGTTATTATTAATCTAAGAGTTAAGCATTCTCCAAGTTCTAGAACACAGAGTGCCCCTAAGGTCCTCCCACAGTCTGCCAGGCTGACAGCCGTGGGGGGGGCACAGGGGGGACCCTGACTTCTATTACCCAGGCATCTTCCTTCTTCTCCATTTTCAGGTGTGCAAGCCATGCTCCCTCACCACTCCCGCTCTCTCTTCCTTTTCCTTTTCCTCCTCCCCAGCGTCCCCATGGAGCCCCAACCCCCATCCTCCACCTTGCCCCCATTTCTGGCCCCTGAGTGGGACCTCCTGTCTCCCCGTGTGGCCCTGTCAAGGGGCGCCCCTGCTGGGCCCCCTCTCCTCTTCCTGCTGGAGGCCGGAGCCTATGGGGAGCCGGCAGCGACCCCAGCCAACCGCAGCCGGCGTGGGGTGAGTGAGACAGCGCCCGCGAGCCGCCGGGGTGAGCTGGCAGTGTGCGACGCAGTGAGTGGCTGGGTGACGGACCGGCGGACGGCTGTGGACTTGCGTGGGCGCGAGGTGGAGGTGCTGGGCGAGGTGCCTGCAGCAGGTGGCAGTCCCCTGCGTCAGTACTTCTTCGAGACGCGATGCAAGGCCGAAAGCGCTGGGGAAGGTGGCCCGGGTGTGGGCGGAGGGGGCTGTCGCGGCGTGGATCGGAGGCACTGGCTCTCAGAATGCAAGGCCAAGCAGTCCTATGTGCGGGCGTTGACTGCAGACTCCCAGGGCCGCGTGGGCTGGCGCTGGATTCGGATCGATACAGCTTGCGTCTGCACGCTGCTCAGCCGAACAGGCCGGGCCTGAGGACTCCAGCTTGGGAACTGCTCAGGTTGAGGAGAGAAAAGAGCTGGATGCTAAAGGACCTCAGAGGCGACCCGGCTGCTCTACTGTGCCTTCTGATTGAGAACTGGAAAAAAAAATCAAATCTCTCATTTTTGAGAGCTCAATCTGTGTGGAATGTTTGATGAAACCAAATGGAGTTTCAAGGGATGAATAGGAGTTCTCCTGGAGGAACTTGACAGTAATAATAATAGACAATGATTGCTATCTACTGTTTATTAGACCTTATACTTAACTCTGCTGACCATTCCAACATCAGAGGATCCTGGCTCACCCTGGCAAGAGGGACCAGGAAAGAACGTGTGAAAAAGTGATGTGAGCACTAGGGACTGGTTGCCTAGCATGTATCAAGTCCTGGGCTCTATCCTGAGGACCACATCATAAACCATGTACAGTGGGAAATCTGCAATGCCAGCCCTTGGGAGGTAAAAGCAGGCAGATCGGGAGTTCAAAGCCATTCCTAGCTACATAGGGAGTTCGAGGCCAGCCTTGTCGACATGAGAACCTATCTCAAAAAGAAGAAAAGAAAAAACAAAAAGGAGTGGGCTCTGTTGTGATACATGCCTGTAATCCTAATACTTGAGAGGCAGGAGTTCAAAGCCATTCCTAGCTACATAGGGAGTTCGAGGCCAGCCTTGTCGACATGAGAACCTATCTCAAAAAGAAGAAAAGAAAAAACAAAAAGGAGTGGGCTCTGTTGTGATACATGCCTGTAATCCTAATACTTGAGAGGCTGCAGACAGGATTGCCTCTAGTTCCAGGACAGCCTGGGTCGCATAGACTGGCAGGGGCATGGGGCGCAGGGAGTTGGGGGGGATGGGTCAAGTGGGAACACGATGGAAGCAACTGGCCCTAGAACCTTGAGGATGTGGTCAGTGGAGACCATCATGGTGGAGCTGTGGTTGAAATGAGGAGCCTGACCTGGCCAAGGCAGACAAGTGTTGGCTTGGAATACAGCACTCTGCTTTGAGTAGTGAGCATCCAGGGAAGTACAAGCAGGCTTGGATGCCTCATACCCAGAACAGACCCTAGTCTGTTTTGTTTAGTTTTGATTTTGGAGACAGGGTCTCACGCAGCTCAGGCTGACTTTGAACTCACTGTTGAACTCCTTATCTCCTGCTCCCACCTCCCAAGTGCTGGCATTACAATTTACGCAGTGCTGGGGTTGGAACCTGGGCCTCCTGCATGCTGGGCAAGCATGCCATCACCTGGACCCCGCCACACACACATATCTTTTTTAAAAAAATGTTTTGGGACAAGTTCTCATGAAGCTCAGGCTGGCCTACAACTGGAATATGTTGCTGAGGATGACCTTACATTTTTTTAAAGATTTCTTTATTTTATGTGTATTCAGTGTTTTGCCTTCATGTATGATGTGCATCATGGTGGTGTCTGCAGTGGCCAGAACAGAATATTGGATCCCCTGGAACTGGAGTTACAGATGTTTGTGAGGCACCATGTGGGTCCTGGGAAATGAACCCTAGTCCTCTGCAAGAGCAGCCAGTGCTCTGAACTGTTGATCCATCTCTCCCGACCCACCTTCACAGGGGTGTGCGTCCACACCTGGGAGACAGGGAGGGCCTCTCTAAGGTAGACCAGGCTGGACTCGTAGACCAGGCTGGACTCGACAGACAGCCTTCGTTTTGGAGCAACAGCCAATGCCACCGCAGGAGGGTGTATAAACATATTCTTTGGAGGCCAGCTTCTCCCACCCTGAGTGAGCCTGGACCACTAGCCAGGCAGAACCTGCCCCTGATGCTCTGAGGGTGGCCGTATTCCCATCCTCTAACCACCTCCCTCTGTCTCTCTGACTTCCTGTCTCTTTTCTGTGGGTGAGGAGCCCCTTTTTTTCTGTTTCCTGATGTATTTCCCACCCCCCACCCCGTACCCCAGCCCCCATACCCAGGTGGAAGTTTTCAGCCAACTGAAAGGCAGACAGGACTGGGGACGCTCACCCTTCAGCCTTCATGGAAAAGAGCTGTCTGGAAACTGTTACCCCGAGGTAGGCAGGCCTGGCAGAAGAGGAGGCAGCCCCAGGGCCAGGGGCCCTGCAGCAAAGGGGCGTTTAGTTCTCCACCCCCTCAATCAGCCTGTCTCCGTGTGTGCGGTACCCCCCCCCCTCCCCCGACCTCCTGCCTCCTTTCTCCTCCTCTTGGGAGTCTCCACCCTTCCCCACATATCTGTGTCTCTGTGCCGGTCTTAGGGTCTCCTCCATCCTCCTCTTCCAAAATCTTAGTCTGAGTTCCCCGAATTCTCCCCACGCCATTGGCTGGGCTGAGGGTGGGCGGGTTCTGTTACGAGGGGCAACGGCTACACCACAACAAGCCACTTCTTGGCTTCAGAGAGTGTGAGAACTATGGCAGGCCGGACACTAGCTCTGCGATATGGGCCCCCTTGGTCCCCCATTTCTGAAACCGAGGTTCCTGGAACTTGGCCCAGCTGGCATCTCACCAGCAGCGGGGTCGCCCACCACAGGATCCCACCGGCACCCTTTCCTCCGCCCATTCTACAGGTGAGAGGACCCAGGGCCGAGGGCGAGACAGGGAAAGGGGGCAGTTCCCAAACCTGTGTGCTAGGAGGAAAGAGGACTCGGGTTAGGCTCCTGGTTTGAACGGGGCGGGGCCTGGGAGCCTGCACGCCAGGAGCTGGAGGAAGGGAAGGGGAAGGCCCCTTGGGTCTTTTGGCTGAACTATGCGCCTTCTCCCCAGCCGACGGTCCTGGCACCCCTGCCCGCAGCCGTGAGGCACGACCCGCGCATCTGGGCCTTTGACGAAGTCATCAACAGATGGGAAACCACCTCAGGCTCGGCACACAGGCCCAAGACACACGGCGGGCCCTGTGCCCAGCCCAAGGCAGCAGAGCATGAGGACCCTGGGCGGGTACTTGGGATCAAGTCTTTGGCAGAGAAGGTAGGGTTCTGGAATCCTGCAGCCTGGGGGATGGAGAGTTGGACACTGAAGCCCCTGCTTGCTCACCTTGAGTCTTTGGACCACCTTCTTGTAGCTAAGAAGACACCAGGGTTGGGGTGTCCCCCTGGACACAAAATACCAGATCAGCGAGACGAAGGCAGAGCACACGGGCTGCCCAGGTCTGGACCAGAGTGCCCCCCTCTTTGTGGAGCCCCAGCCCCCGGAGCTCGTTGACCACCACCGTGGGGGCCCGTCCCAGGTAGAGCAAGCAAGCTTGGACACTGGGGAGCAGCCTGCGCTGTCCAGAGGTTTGGGGACCAGACTCAATTGCTGGGCTGGAGGAAGCTTGCACTCGAGGGTGAACCTAAAAGGTATTGGATTAGGGTCAGGATACTGAAACTTGACCTCTGGAGGAGGCTCAATGTTGCTTCTGAGGCTGTGGGGTGCTGGTGCAATGAAGTTAAGTAGTTGCTCCTCAGAGCTGGACTAGAATATTCTGAGACAGGATAGGTTAGCAGATGGAAGTTAGGTTTACGGGCGAGGAAACAGTTAGGTGGGATTGTTATTCAAGATACACTTAATGTCCAGTGTCTGGGTAACTGTTTGGACTAGGAGGGAACTGGAAAGGGGGCGTGGCTGCAGCTGGAGTTTGGGTTTTTGGCCAGTGTTTAAGATGGAGTGCAGGGCTCCCAAGGACCCTGATTTGAGGCACAAAGCCCGAGATTAGTGGGAGAGCTTTGATAGGGTACACCCAGTATCTTTCTTGTCCACTTCCTTTCCCAATACTCCTCAGGCCCTAATCCCCTGGACGAGAAACCCAGAGTTGGCTGGCCAGCCCTTTACAGTGTGTAAGATTGGTGTCCTGGGCCGCCTCCAGCCCTACCTGACCACCTCTGTACGCGACTTCTCCAGGTGAGCCTCTGACCCTCCCCTCTGCAGTTCCAACTGCAAATACAGGAACCACAGTACTGGCCCAGCTCCACTCTGGAGCTCAGAACCCAGAGCCTCCTCTAAGGCAGCAAGAGCCCATTTCCAGGATCCGAACTCTGTTGCTCTTGGTCCTATTCACCTGCTGTTCCACCCACAGGAAAGAGCTGTCTGGACACCCTGGCCGGGACACAGTGGTGAAGTCACAGCCTCCCCGCCACCTTAAGCTGCTACCAAGGGAGCGCCTAGCTCGGGCGTGCCCAGTGCCACCGGCTGTGCCGTACCTAGGGGCCCTGCCTCTGACCCAGGAGTCTTATGGGCCCTCGGTGCACCCGCTCCGCAAGCTGGATCGCTTTTGCCCACTAGAGGCCCCCTGGGGAGGCCCCCACCCGATGCCAGTGCCTGGCATCTACAGCGTGCCCAAGGCCTACTGCACTGAGAACTCCCGCTATGGGAGTGCCAGGGCAGAGCTGGTGTGAGCATGTGAGCCCTGCCCATCAGGCAGACATAGACTCCAGCATCGGATTTGTGGGTTGTGGGCAGGTCAACCCAGGCATACCCCACGCTTGCAGAGGAGCCTCCTCCAGGTGGAGCTTACTGATCAAGGAGTTTTATAGCTGAAACTACACCCATTTCTGGACCCATGCATCCTGATTAGGGAGTTGGGTGAGGGGCAGTTGCTCCACCTCTGGTTGAAGGTGTCTGGGTACAGTTGGAGGCCCACTTGGCATGGGGGGAACCTAAGACCGTAGCTGAGCTGTACCTTCTATAGGGTTGCACCGAGGCATGAAAATGAGCTAGCCCCCAGCACCTTAGGGGCCCAGCCAGCAGCCTACAGGATACCCTCCCCTTTCCCCTTCTGTGATGGGGTGAAGGATCCAAGCGTCCTTCCTGCACTCCCAACGTCCGCTAGGCTCACACCTGGGCTGAGTATGAGGCCAATCACCGTGCACTGGAGCTGGTTCCTCACTTCCCTGACCTTGTCTGTCTCTCGCCCCCAAAGAGATTAGTGTCTAGGTTACCCAAGCCTACAGCCGCTGCTTGGTGGCCTTGCCACCCCCACAACCTGCAGGTATAAAGTCAGGTGGCCAAGGTAGGGAAGGCATCGAGAATGGAGAGACTCCAGGTAAGAGTGTAGGGTCCGGGACATCTCCCAACTCCACCAGACCCTGGCTGGAACAGATGGACAGCCCTGTGACCTGGGGGGAGGGGTGTCTAGCTGGTGGGCTCCCAGCAGGGCAGAAATGGATTGGATGGCAGGTGATGGGTCCTGAAGGCCAGGATCTATATTACACTGAATGGGTCCAGAGCCCGGGATGAAAACCCAGGGCTAGACTGAGACACTGGCTATGTCCCAGGGGCTGCTACTGTGGCTGTTGCTGAGCCCAAGTGTGGTATGGGCCTCCAGGGGCCCCCTGCGGCCACTGTGCCGGCCTGTCAACGCAACCCTGGCCGCAGAGAATGAGGTCTGCCCAGTCTGCATCACCTTCACCACCAGCATCTGTGCCGGCTACTGTCCTAGCATGGTGAGCTCACCAAATGGGCCGGGACCTCACTTCAGACACAGTACTGCCACCTTAGCTAGATGTAAGGCAGGTGGTGGCAGTGGGGTCTAAGGGGATGGCACCTGGGCAGGGGTCATAGCTACGGCGGGGGTTTGGAGGATCAGGTGGATCTTCAGCGCAGAGCCAGGGTGCAGGGAGCATCCAGCACTGTTTTTCTCCCTGGGCCCCAGGTTCGAGTACTGCCGGCTGCCTTGCCTCCTGTGCCCCAGCCTGTGTGCACCTACCGTGAGCTGCGCTTCGCGTCTGTCCGCCTCCCTGGCTGCCCACCTGGTGTGGACCCCATGGTCTCCTTCCCCGTGGCCCTCAGCTGCCGCTGTGGGCCCTGCCGTCTCAGCAGCTCTGACTGTGGGGGTCCCAGGGCTCAACCGTTGGCCTGTGACCTCCCCCACCTCCCCGGCCTCCTCTTCCTCTGAGGCCCACCCGCTAACTCCTCTGTCTCAAGGAGCTGGCAGGTGATCCGACTGTCCCTCCCAATAAAGGCTAATTTACAACTGCACTGGGGTGTCCTGTGGGCTCTGAGGAACACAGCAGGACTCCAGTTTCCAACCATTTTATACAAAGTCACAGTGTCACAACTTGTAGAAAACAACGTGGGAAGGGCTGAGTGGAGGTCAGCTCAGGAGGTGTCCATTGTGTCGCCTTCTGTGGAGAGGGGAGCCAGGCATGAGTGAGGTCCAGGGTGCTCCCATGGAGTCCTCTCCCACAGTGGCAGCAGCCTGTGTGGCTGGGATACTCACTGAGCTCATTGAAGAGGAAGGCATCTTGGTATTCCTTCATGTACTGTGTGGAGCGGGACTCGTCCAGGAAGAGGGAGTATACACGTTTGATGTCGTCCACCTGCACCTCTGTGCCCTAGGGACAGGTGGGACTCAGCTCGTGTCAGCATGAGGTCATGGCTCCGAACCCCCCCCCCCCCACAGTTTTCTCCTCGAAGATCACTGTGGTTCTTAGTTCCCCCTGAATACCCGTGTGCCATCCCTTCAGCCCTCCAGGCTAACTTGATGGCTTACCTTGCGTTTCCGGCACACCAGGCTGGCCGCTGTGATAAGCTGGATGGCGTAGCGCAGGGAGGTCTCCAGCCCGATGCGGGTCAGCACTGTGTAGGCATCCTCGCTCATCTCCACATCCTCCTCCTCACAGCTGGGGGTAGGCAGGCCTCAGCCAGGCAGAACGGCGAGCAGCCCACCCATCCCCAGAGCAGGTACGACACGTCTCAGGACCACAGATGAGGAGGTTAAAAGAGCACAGGCACAGGGGGCCTCCCGCCCCCGCCCCCCAGCTCTCCCCACGGGTAGGATGCCACACTGGTCTTCCCAGATACAGAAGTCTGGGTGAATCCCCCCCATCCAATCTCCGTGTCCCCCATAAAGCGGCCAGGGTGCCCCACCGGATGCGCAGAATCTGCTTGGTGTCCTTCTCACTGTAGGGGGATGTTGACACAATGAGCAGACGGTCTAGCAGGTCAATGGGGATGCCATGGGGGCTCTGGTAGCTGGTGCCTCGGATCCTGGGGGTCAGGAAGGACCATTAATGGATGTCCCGGGAAACCACGCTGGCCATCACACCCACCTGAGAGCTAAGTAACTAACCGCATGAGCACAGGCTCTTATCACCTGCAGGCACAGTCCGCCCCAGCGGGGCTAGTGGCTGTCCTGTTCCCTGCTGCACAATGGGCAATGGTGGGCAATGGGACCCACAGCAATCTGCTCCAGTCACAGGCAGTTTAGCCACAGCTGGGATGCTGATCTCCAGCTGCCAGACTCCAACCTACCACTCATGCACTCTTCGGGCCTGGGGAAAGCTGGCACAGACTGGGGACACAGACTGGGGACACAGACTGGGGACACAGACTGGGGACACAGACTGGGGACTGCAGGGGAACATCAGACGACAAAGCGATTGGGAGCAGGGCCTCGCTCAGCCGGGGCAGACCTCACAACTGGCTCTCCTTGGTGCCCTGGTCTAAAGCTAGCCGCCCCCCCCCCCCCCCCCCCCCCCCCCCCCCCCCCCCCCCCCCCGCCACCTTAAACCTATGGCCTTGGCAAGTCGATGAGTTGGTTGGCCTACTGTGAAGTGGGAGGGACGGAATGGGGTGAAGAGCAGAGCCAGTGAGGTTGCCGGGCCACAGCCTGTTAGTGCTGTTGGCCCTCTGCATCCTCACAACCACATCTAACTCTAGTTCCAGGAGATAGGACGCACTCTTGTGGCATCTGTGGGTACCACATGCATGTGAGCGCATACACAGACACACACATAAAAGTCAATCAGAAAAGGAAGGGGTTGAGGAGATGGTTAAGAACACATACTGGTCTTGCAGAAGTCCCCAGGGCTCCCAGTACCCACACTGCGTAGCTAGCTCATAACCGCTTGTTAAGTCTAGCTGCAGGGAATCTGACCTACTGTTATGGACTGTGCACACACCCCCTGCCATATAATGGGGAAGGGGGTGCCATGATAAAAACATGAGCAGGCTGATGTGCTTGATGAAGCTCATGAGCCGCCACCAGAGGGAGGCTGGCCCCGAGCCCCATCCCTCCCGGCTCCCCAAACCCAGGTCCTCTGCAAGAGCACTATGTCCTCTTAACCTGGGAACCACTGCTTCAGACCTGTTTTCTTTGAGAAAAGGGTCTCTCTCATGCAGCCCATGCTCAGCCTCCACAGTACTAGGGCTGCTGGCGGAGTGGGCGTGCCGCAGCGTCTTGAGGTCAAAAGCCCTGGGTTCTGAGTGACTTGACTGACCACAGCAGTCTGTAACATGTCTACTGGATGCTCCTTGCTCAGCCTCTTTGGGTGCCTTGACCAACAGTTCTGAACTGCACGTCGGACAGATTTTCTATCTGCCCAGGACTGTGGCGACAACGGTGAAGGCAAGCTCGGTAAGGAGGTGCTAGAGTACCAACCACGGCACTCAGCAGACAGTCCATTTACCCACAGGCTAACCCCCGGTCCAGAGTCCCTCTTCACCCAGAAAACTCGACAGCTCCTCACCGGGTGATGCCTCTGTTGGTGGCCATGATGAGGACAGGGGCCATGTCACTCTCCAGGGCCCGGTTGAGGAAAGAGAAACTCTCAATGTCCAGCATGTGGACCTCGTCGATGAACAGCACCTGGAAGCCGTCGGGGCACTGATCAAGCTCACCTCCACCCCTTTCTTCCCCCAGGTCATAGCTGCCCGCCTCAGTTCTAGTCACTCACCCCAGGGATGATCTCCGCCTTGCCCTCCTCCCTCCACTCAGCCACCTTGGCATTGATCTGTTCTCGGACTTCTGACTTGATCTCCCCTGTGTCTCCTGCCAGAGACATGGGGCATCAGCGGATCAGAGACTGTGTCCAGGACCAGGGGTGGGCAAAGACAGAGAAAGACAAATGCCACGGAGTAGGGCTGTAGTGCTACGGCAGCAGGCCCAGGACCCTGGAAGGCCCCACAAAAGACAGAAGGCAGGGACCTGAGGAGGGACTCAAGGGCAATGCCGGGAATGATAAACTCAAATGGAGCACAGAGGGCAAACAGGAGGTCTGGGAAGAAAGACTGAGGAGGTGCCATGCCAGGAGAGGAGAAAGACTGCGGGGGGAGACAGCTGACCTGAGAAAAGGGCCAGAAAGCCCTGAGTCCGAGAGTTGATGACGTCAATCTCGTGGAGGGACACGGTGTGCACCACCTCCTTGCGTTTCTGCAGCTCCCCGTCTGGGCACTGCACAAACTTGGTCTAGAGGGCCGAGGGCAGGTGTGAGGGCAGCAAGGGCACAGGCCCCGGGGCCCCACACCGGGAGATACCATGACGTGACAAAAGATCTAGAAAGGTCCCAGTGCCAGGTGAGGGTCAGCCAAGTACCTGGGAGCCCATGGCGTCATAGTCACGGGCTCGTGTGAAAGAGCGGCCCAGCTTGGAGATCTTGCCGGTGGCCTTGTCAATAGTGATCACATCCCTGCAGGGGCAAAGAGGGAGAGGCCCGGGCGGGGGTGGCGCACGCCTTAATCCCAGCACTTGGGAGGCGGAGGCAGAGGCAGGACGATCTCTGTGAGTTCAAGACCAGCCTGGGCTACAAGGGGAATTTCAGGACAGCAAGGGCTACCCAGAGAAACCCTGTCTTGGAAAACAAAACAGAGTAAGAAGACTCTCTCACTGCCCCAGCCATCTTCATGGCCCCAGTGGCTCACCCGGCCTGGACCTTGTCCTTGGTCAGAGACTCGATCATCTTGGTGCCCAGATCGTAGATGGTCTCCATCTCTGTGGTCTTGAGGGTCAGTTTGCCCACCTTGGACCCCTGAGGGGACACACCAGGAAATGCTTAGAGAACCTCATCCTTTTGTGGCCACAGCTTCAAAATTGCCATGGCACAGGAAGCTCGTGGAGGGGATAGCCTTGGAAAGTGGCTACCTGGGTGCCAAACTGTACCCACAATGTGTGCTGCTGCATCACTGTGAGCCCTCAAGAGTGGGGGGAAGTGCCAAGTGCTGGCATGGCTCTCTGTGCCCAAATGAAGGGCACTAAGCCCTGGACCTAGACCCTCTACTACTGAGCTGTGCATCCTCAGCCCTATTCTTATGTTTCTGAGACAAAGTATCACAAGACCTCCTGCCTCAGCCTTCCAAGCATTTTAACCACAGCAGAAAAAAAAGCGTTTTTGTTGATTACAAAGTGAAGACAACTGAAATGGGGCCAGCACACAGCTCAGTGGGCAGGGCTTTGAAACCAATCTTAACGACCTTGGAACCTGCATGGTCGAAGAACCTACTCCACCTACTCCCACAATTTGTCCTCTGACCTCTACACACACTCAATAAATGCAAAACTAGAAGAAAACAAAAAACCTTTTATAAAAGGTTAATTAAAAAAAAATCCTGCTGGGAGGTGGCACACCCCTTTAATCTCAGAACTCAGAGGCAGAGGCAGGCAGATCTCTGAGTTTGAGGCCAGCCTGGTCTATAGAGGGAGTTCCAGGACAGCCAAGGCTACACAGAGAAACCTTGTCTTGAAAAATTAACCAAACAACCCACACATTCTCCTCGGGACATAAGCATGCTTTATTTATACTACTCAGGCCTGGTTCAGGGAATCAACTACCTGTTTCTGGCCCCTGTAGAGTAGGAGACACCGTTAAAGGCGGACTAAGGGGGGACCTGGGTTTATCTGTACATAAATATTTTAACATTTGATTCTCTTTAATTACAAGCATATGTGTGTCTATATGTGGATTTGTGCACATGAGTGCAGGTACCCAAAAAGCCAGAAGAGGGTATTGGATCTCTAGAACTGCTGTCACAGGTGGCTGTGGGTGCTGGGAACTGAACTTGGGTCCTAGATTAGCAATACATGTTCTGAACCACTGAGTCATTAAAGAAAAAAAATCAGAGCTATATATGCACAAAACCCTGAGGTCCTTCCCCAGCACCACACAACCCAGGCATGGTGAGGCCTATGAGCCTAGCTCTCAAAAGGTGGGGCATCAGAAACTCAGTCATCCTTAGTTATATAACAAGTTCAAGGCAAGTCTAGGCTACATGAAACCCTGCATTTAAAAAAAAAAAAAAATCGGGTAGAGGGCTGGAGAGATGGCTCAGCAGATAAGAGCATTTGGATCCCAGTACCCATGCTAATAAACAAATAAACAAACTATAATATAATAATAATAAATCAGGCATGGCCACATGCAGGCCAGTGCTGCTGGGGATGAAAAAAAGGTCACAGGAGCTTTCTGGCTGCCAGCCTAGTTCTAAGTCAGAAAGAGACCTCGTCTCAAAGAAATAAAGCAGCATGACAAAGCAGGACACCTGACATCATCCTCTAGTCTCTGCATGTGTGAACAAGTGTGCACATACACAAGGACACCCAGGGCTGGGAATAGTGGTGCACGTCTTTAAGCCCAGCACTCAGGAGGCAGGAGGGTCTGAGGGTTCAAGGACACCCAGGGCTGGGGATAGTGGTGTACGTCTTTAATTCCAGCACTCAGGAGGCAGGAGGATCTGAGGGTTCAAGGGCAGCCTGGTCTATATTGAGATCCTTTCTCAAAAACAAAACACACACACACACACACACACACACACACACACACACACACACACACACAGAGCAAACGACAAAGAGGAGGGTCCTATGACACAGAAGTGGAAAGTGACCACGGGTTAGGTCAATGGGCTGGAGCACTTCTTTACTCAGGCATCCAAGTAGAAACTGAAACATCACATGAAGAACCAGCAACAAGGGTTTACTTATTGATCAAAACAGAGTTTCTCTCCATAGCCCTAGCTGTCCTGGATCTCGCTCTGTAGATCAGGGTGGCCTCAAACTCACAGAGATCTGCCTGCCTCTGCCTCCTGAGTGCTGAGATTAAGGTGTGCACCACCACGCTCAGCTGCAACACAGCACTTCAAAACCAGATTACCCACTGCCCTACACTCCTACTGATACAAAGCATCCAGAACCCGCAGGTCCTGAGGCAGGAAGAGATCTCGTGGCTGGGGCAGGAGAAAGTCAGGGCTGTTGGTAGACATGTACATTTTCTCATGGGGTAATAGAAAATTCTAGAACCAGACAGAGGTGGTAATGGCTGCATGACACCGAGTGCACTGCCACCACGCCACTCGTTCTGAAACAGCTGGTTTCTACTGAGCCTGGCTGTGGAGGGTCCCACCCTAGCAACTCCTGCAACACAAGTTCCAAGATCCTCTAGACTTGATGCATCAGCCCTGTGCAATCTCACCTCAATCCTTAGAGATGAGATTTCAGAGCAACTGCAAAACAGGACGACGGAAAACCTATTAGACTGTTTACTCTCTAAATTAAAACATTACATTAACTTTAAAGGCATGAAATAAGACAGCTGGGCAGCTGCCTAGGACACATGGGGCCTTAGGTTTGACCCAGCACAGAAAAACCCCAGAAACTCCCTATAACTGAGCAGAACAAATCCAAGTGCCAGACAGACACATACATCAGGGCGACACTGGAAGCAGGAAGTGGGCGGAGGTAGGTCACCTGGGTGGGCCTCAGAGCAAAGGAGCTCTGCGGGAAGGGAAACATCTCGTTCTCGGTACCCACAGTAACTCATCAGCTCACACACTCATCTTGCTAGTTTCTCATTTTACAAGAAAGTCTACCTCGGCCCTGTGACACCCTGCCCTTTGGCTGGAGGTGGCTTGGCCATGAATATGGGTGATGTAGGAAGTGTTGGGACTGAGAAGTCACAGAGACTCACTGTGCCTGTGGCTGGCCGGTCAATCTGGATCTCCACTACCTCTCCTTCAATGATCTCTGTCTCCTCCCTGGGACAGACAACAGAGCCTGGGTCAGCCTGGCCCGACACCCTGACTCCCTGAGCAGGATTTTGGGCAAGCAGAATGGATATCTCACAGGATACTCACTTGATACGGACCCCAATGGAACGGCGGAAGGCTTGAGTCAGAGCCTCTGTCTTGCTCATCTCCAGAGAAAAGATCTCACTGCCTGCGATGGCTGTGAACGGAGTGTCGGGACCCAGTGCCTGGGCCATGCCTGTGGGAGCAGTGGCCAGGCAGTTGTGGCTGCTGGCCCCAGGTCCCTGACAGTGGTGGGCCATGCTCCTCCTGAACTCCTCAAAACCATCTATGCCTCCATCCACGGCCTCCCCTACCGGCCCGGTTAGTTTCCACATTCTGCAGTCTTCCACCTTAGCACGTATCACCTTGCAGGGCACGGTGACATGGCCACTTCTTTTGGTGAGTGCTATTTCTGAACCGATTCTGGATGGAGCCTTGACTCTGTGTGTCTGGCCCCACAGTCTTAGCAGAGGTGGGAGTGAGAAGACAGCTGGGTCGAGAGAGCCTCAGAGGCAGAGATGCCCGAGGAGGATTCTGAAGGATGGACAGAGTTCCACAAGGAAGAGAGGTGGCTGTGCTCCTCAATCACTAGAGGACTCAGTACAGAGAAGGCTGTCTGTCTGTCCAGTGTTCACCCTCTTCCTTATCCCCAGAACCCCCACTTTATGAAGACAGCAATGATCCAAATTAAAAATTACAAAACAAGCCGGGCGGTGGTGGCGCACGCCTTTAATCCCAGCACTCGGGAGGCAGAGCCAGGCGGATCTCTGTGAGTTCAAGGCCAGCCTGGTCTCCAAAGCGAGTTCCAGGAAAGGCGCAAAGCTACACAGAGAAACCCTGTCTCAAAAACCAAAAAAAAAAAAATTACAAAACAATGCTGACGTGGTGGCACACACCTTCACCCCTGTACCCTGGAGGCGGAGGCAGAGGCCGGCAGGCGGGTCGGCAGGACAGTCAAGACTACCGGCAGCTAGGGCCGCAGCCTGCTCTGCAGCACTGTGAGTAGAACCACAAATGCAGAAGCACACGCTTCCCCACAGGGCGGCTACACCCGAGATCTGGACTAGAGCGGGGAAGGCTGGAGCTAAGCAGCCTTCTTGGAATACAAGGTCCCCCGACCATAGCAACAGAGAAGTAGAAAATGTTGAGGCTACAAGTCGGGGACCCCGTATAACTGCTCAGTGGTCCTAGACAACTTCCTGATGCTTCTATGATTGTTAAACAGTTAACCTGTCCCTAACTCCCAAGGAGAATGTCTGCCCCATGAGGCCGCTTACCCATGGCGATGGCTGTCTTCCCAGTGCCTGGCTGGCCAGCAATGAGGACGGCCCGCCCTGCAATTTTCCCTTCTCGGATCATCTCCAGCACCACGCCAGCTGCACGCCGGGCAGCTAGCTGCCCCACCATGCCCTGGGAAGCCTGCAGAGTGGGAGGTGAGAGGACATGGAAAGTGACTGACTGTCTCCAGAGCCACCTCTGTGCTCCCACCCCACATCTTGCCTGCTGGAAAAACAAGGTTTTCCTTTTCTTTCTTTTTTTGATACAGGGTCTCACTCTGTAGACCAGGCTGGCCTTGAACTCACAGACATCTGCCTGCCTCTGCCTCCCAGCACGGGGATTGCAGGTGTGCATTAATGTGGCTGAACTGCTTCAGTGTAGACTCAAGAGTTCTGAAGACAGGAATAGCCCTGCTCAACTTGGCAGGAGCAGCCCACGTACCCAGCCCCATAGCTCTACCTGTCTTGGTTCCAAGGCATCATCCAGTCCTAGACCCCGGATGTGAGAGTGAGCGCCTGTGTGGGAGGAAGGGAATAGTCACTGGCTGGTTCCAGGCCACGTTGTGTGGACTCTGAGTCAGGGGCTTCCCTCAGAGCTCAGGCTGCCCTCTCGGTCAAATGAAGCCAGGAAGAGGCCTGAGCACGTACAGTTAAGTGTTCAGCATCCAAGAGCTGAATGATGCTACCAAGGTCCCAGGTACTGGGTCCAAGAACTAACGGTGAGGGCCAGAGTGGGAAGATACTGGTACTTGGTACTCAGGGCTCTTATTCCACATCACCCTGACAAGCCAGAGCATGTCACTATCATTCCTGGGCCCATCCACAGGGATGGGGCGAGAGCACAGACAGCTTAAGGCCCAAGCTCAGACCCCATCCAGGAAGAGGTGAGGACAGGAGCCCCTGTGCACCAGATGACTCTGTAATAAACTCAAAGAACACAGGTGCCAGACCCAGTCACAACCCACCTCTACGCCACCACACCCGTGAAGTGAGTGTGTCACTTCTGGTGGAGATGAGATTCAGCAAGCCTGGAACTGTGTGAGTCCTTGGGTTCCACCCAAGCATTGGGAGTGGGAGGGTGTTTCATTTCAATAAAGTAGAACTCATCAGCCAGGCATGGCAGTACACATCTGTGACCCCAACACTCAGGAGGTAGAGACAGGAGGATCAGACATTCAAAGTCATCCTCAGCTACACAGTAGGTTCAGGGCCAGCCTGGTCTACATGAGACTGCCTCAAGAAGAAAAACAAGGCCAGGCGTGGTGGTGTACACTTTTTTTTTTTTTTTTTTGGTTTTTCGAGACAGGGTTTCTCTGTGTAGCTTTGCGCCTTTTCCTGGAACTCACTTGGTAGCCCAGGCTGGCCTCGAACTCACAGAGATCAAGGCCAGCCTGGTCTACAGAGTGAGTTCAGGACAGTCAGGGCTAAACAGAGAGTAAGTAGAAAGATCCTGCCTCAAAAAAACAAAGAAGAAGCCAGGTGGTGGTGTCACACACCATTAATCCCAGCACTCAGGAGGCAGAGCCAGGTGGATCTCTGTGAGTTCGAGGCCAGCCTGGGCTACAGAGTGAGTTCCAGGACAGGCACAAAGCTACACAGAGAAATACTGTCTCTAAAAACCAAACCAGCCGGGCGGTGGTAGCGCACGCCTTTAATCCCAGCACTCGGGAGGCAGAGCCAGGCGGATCTCTGTGAGTTCGAGGCCAGCCTGGTCTACAGAGTGAGATCCAGGAAAGGCGCAAAGCTACACAGAGAAACCCTGTCTCGAAAAACCAAAAAAAAAAAAAAAATAAAAAATAAAAAAAAAAAATAAAAACCAAACCAAACCAAACCAAACAAACAAACAAAAACAAAACAAAGAAGAACACTTTGGATACAGCAGCTCAGGGGTGGAGAGCTTGCCTAACATGGACGAAGCCTCAACAGAGAGCATCCAAGGGCAGTCACCGGCGCAGCTGGTCTCTGCCAGGTCTTCAGCTGCAACAGGCTCCCGCCCTTTACACAGGGAAGCATCGATGGCCCATGCTTAAACTACTGTCTTAAGTTTTAGAGACAGGGTCCCACAGTCTCTCAGTGACTCTTGACATTCACCAGGGGCAATTGTCTTCGCTCCACTTTGCCGGTCAGAAACTCGAGGTGCTCAGAGTCCACCAGAGCCGGTACTCGGAGCCCAGAGCCCTCTACTATGTCTTAGAGGTGACGAGTGACTACTGAACCAGTAGGCCAGCAGGACTCCCCGGAGACCCCTGCCAGCCTCTGCACCCCAGGCTTGCTGCAGGCGGTGAGCTGTGTCTCAGCTGCTCCGGTCATCTGTTGAGTGCTCTGCAGGCAGGGCCTGAGACACACCAGGAATGAGGCAGGCCCAGTACACCCTCAGGAAGCATCTGACCATAGGCACTTTGTGTGCAGGGACATGGTTCAGATGACCTCGAACTTCCAGAAACCTCACGGAAGCATCAGGCCTATGGCAGCATGGCCTGGGATGAGGGCCCCACCACGTCCGTCCTTCTCTGCCTGCCTGTCTGGACACTCAGCAGCAGTGGTCTCCCCTGGTCCTGACCCTGCTCACTTACCAATTCTCTCGATTCTTGTCACATCCCGGATCTCAGGGACTTTGGTGGTGGCTGCCTGCAGGTAAGGAGGATGGATGTGTGAGATTCCCAGGACTCCCTTCCGTTCCTTCCCTCACAGGCAGGCAACAGTCCAACCGAAGACCCCACCCCACCCCACCCCACCCCACGCTATCACTAATGGCAGAGTGATCAGCCCCACTACAGAGGCCCAGGAGACTCTCAGACCAGTGCTCTGGTTCCTATTAGGTACATGTCCCACGAAGAGCACAGTCCACACCTCTCTGGCATAACTTGGACTCCATGTTCGCAGTTCAACACGCTAGAGTGCTGTCCACCAAACATCTACCAGTAGGGCCTCCTGTGCATCTGTGCTCTGGAAGGAGCAGCTAACGCCATCCCCTCTCAGAGGAGAGACATGAGAAAAGACCTCCTAGAATGACTGAGCCCTTGGAATTCTCCACAAAGCAGATACATCGATGTTTACAACAGCCAAAGCCACACACATTCATATGCTCGGTGACCGATGAGTGAGAAGCAGGATATGTTCTATTCATTTATGAAATATTATTCAGCCATAAAGAGGAGTGATGCTGATACCAGATATGCCTGGAAGAACACTGGATGGCCGGGTGGGCTCTACACATAACGATTCCGTGTTGGATCAGCAACTAAGAGTACTCACTGGCTGCTCTTCCAGGGGACCAAGATTAAATCCCCTGTATACATGTGGCGTCCCACAATTGTCTAAAACGCTAGTTCCAGGAGATCCAGTACTCTCTGCTGGCCTCTGCAGGCACAGACTTACACGGAGACAAAACAGCCATACACATAAAAGAAAACATGATTTTAAAGACCTGCATGTGGAATGACTCTTATATGTAGTATCCAAAAGAGAGAAGTCCAGAAATAGAAAGTAGAGTAATGGCTGCCGAAGGCTCAGGGAGGGAGGTGTGGGAACACTGGGGTGCCTGATAAGAGCCTGAGTCAGGAGGACTGCTCTAAATCTGGGGCTAGCCCAAGCTACAGAGTGAAACAAGAGACAGAAATATTGTAATGACTCTAAGAAACCACAGTGCTTAGCATGCCTCCTCCCTGAACAGACTTCCAGGATACTCTACAAATGTTCATAGCTTGTCTCTTGCTGTACAATCCTTCCAATTTACTGTCTCTGTAGGAGGCTGGAGGGACTCCAGGAGCACAAGACCCCAAACTACTACTACTACACACAGGCCCTTCATAAGGCAAGCAAGCAAAGGCATACATCCAGGAACCCCAACTCTCCTGACAGATATTCCTGATAAGTTTGTCTTCTACAAGGTCAATTCTGTCCACTGCTGAACAAACACCTTTTAAAATTCAAGACCCAGCAAAGTATAGGCTAGTGGTAGAACTCCTCCATGCTGTGTGAGGGACTGTGTTCCATCCTGTGATATTTCATCTTTTTTTTTTCCCCTGTGATATTTCATCTTGATGGAGTTTATAATTACCATGAAAACAAACTTCTGGGCATATCCGTGAGGGAGTTTCTAGACTGGGTTAAATGGGAAGACCCACCCTAACCATGCACCAGCATTTATTGTTCTGCTCCGTGACTGAGGATGCAACACGACCCGCTGCCTCGGGCTCCCACTGTCACAGGGACTGCATCCCTTCGAACTGCGAGTGATAAAACAAACCCTTCTATGATGGTCAGTTGTACTTTTATGTCAATTTGACACAAGCTAGAGTCCTTAGGAAAGAATAATCTTAACTAAGAAACTGCCTCCCTGGGGCCAGGCGGTGGTGGCGCACACCTTTAATCCCAGCACTCAGGAGGCAGAGGCAGGCGGATCTCTGTGAGTCTGAGGCCAGCCTGGTCTACAGAGTGAGATCCAGGACAGTTGAGGTTGTTTCACAGAGAAAGCCTGGGAAGGAGAGGGACAGGACACTACCTCCATAAGACTTGCCTGTAGGCAAGCCTGAGGGCACTTTCTTGATGGATAATTGAGTGACATCTGGGCTGAAGACACAACAGTTAGTTGTATCGCTGTAGACACCAGTTACAACTCCTGCCTTCAGACACACATTCAAGAAGAACCCTGGCGGAAAAACCCCTGGCTAACACTATGGTGCCAAGAAAATTAAAGCCTACTATGCTCGTGGTGGCAGCACCCTCGGGACTCAGATCCAGTTGTGCTGGCTCCCTGGTGCCCACATGGGGCTCAGGAAGACATGTCTATGCCCATATACACATAACCCCCAAAATGTGAAGGCTGTGGGTCTGTCGCCAGGCTTCAGAGGTTGTCAAGTGGTTCCTGGCAATCTGAGAGCACCTCCAAACTGTTGAGGCCACAGGTCATAGGATGGAGCCAGGTGAAAGGACAGAACGACCGCAGGAGTCAGAGTCCGAGTGACAATGAAGCCTCCAAGGAGAAGTGTGCTGGGGGGACTCTGAGGGAACCAGCAGGTAAAGGTGCCCACCTCCAAACCCCATCACTGGAATTCCATTTCTGGGACCCACGTGGTGGACTGAGAAACCACTTCTGCAAGTGTACATGAGTCCTGGTGAGCGATCACCTACACAAATACACATGCCCACAAAATAAATAAAAATATATAATTTAGACCAGATGGTGGCGGCGCACGCCTTTAATCCCAGCATTCGGGAGGCAGAGGCAGGCAAATCTCTGTGAATATGAGGCCAGCCTGGGCTACAGAGCGAGATCCAGGACAGGCACCAAAACTACACAGAGAAACCCTGTCTCGAAAAACCCAATAGGGGCTGGAGAGATGGCTCAAGGCTTAAGAGTGTTTATTCGGGCTGGAGAGATGGCTCAGCGGTTAAGAGCACTGGCTGTTCTTCCAAAGGTCATGAGTTCAATTCCCAGCAACCACATGGTGGCTCACAACCATCTGTAATGAGATCTGGTGCCCTCTTCTGGCCTGCAGGGATACATGCAGACAGAGCACTGTATAAATAATAAATAAATCTTTAAAACAAAACAAAACACTACTCTTGAAGAGGACCCAGGTTCAGTTTCCAGCTATAATATGGGGCTGAAGAAATAGCTTAGTGGTTATGAGCAGGGCTGCTCTTCCAGAGGATCCAGGGAGGTTCATTCCCAGCAGCAGCACCCACATGGCAGTACGCAACCATCTGTAGCTCCAATTCCTCCTCTGTCCTTTGTGGGCACCAGGCATGCATGTGGTATACAGACATACACACGGGAAACTAGCCATACAAAGAATGAAAATAGGGGCTGGAGAGATGGCTCAGTGGTTAAGAGCACTGGCTGCTCTTGCAAAGGACCCAGGTTTGGTTCCAACATGGTGGCTCATATCCATAGTTCCAGTTCCAGGAGATCCAATACCTTTTGCTGGCCTTCTATAGGCACTGAAAGTATATGACGCATACACAAGCTTCTATATATAAAATACATATAATTACAATAATAAACCTAAGATATATAAAAAGTAACAAAAAATTTGAAGTGACTGCCAGGAAACCCTTCGGGAACTCTGACCTGAGTCTAAATACAGCTGAAGTCTTGCATCTGTGCCATATGGGAACGGAGAATTAAAAAACAACACACATCGACAGCCCAATCCAAGGACAGAACTTCAGATGCTTCTCCCGCCTCCCTCATCTCCTGCCTCCTTCTTCTTACCATGGCAACACCAACACTCTCCACTGCCCTTCCTACAACTTGACTGGGCTCAACACCGGAACTGAGGCCACCAGAAGGCCACAGTAGTCCTTCACCTGGAAGTCTGGGGAACTGAAGCCAGGCCCAGCATGTCTGGTCTCACTTCCTGGGGTTTACTCACTCGTTTTAACATCCAAATAATTGTGTGTTCACACAGACATGTGCCCTGCATGAGGTTCCAGGAAATGCCAATACTCCCTGGACGAAATGGCGAGCTCTGAACCCGGACTTTGTTTCTTTCCTCCCGGACACACTCCTGGCTCCTGACACATTTCCCCGTCCGCGTGACACATGCTCTCAAGTACACAGCACAGGTTAATATTCGCTACTCTCTCCAGGGTTCAGGCTGCCAGGCTCACATTCTTCATAGACACTGGGACAAAAGACTGCGGAACTGGCCGCTGACTGTATCAAGAGGAAGAGAGAGGAAGTTTCTGTAACATGATGTGGGGAGGGGCCAAGATTCTGCCATCCCAGGCTCTTGTTGATTTACTCATTCACATAGAAATCTGAGTATCGCGTGTGTGTGTGTGTGCGTGTGCGTGTGCGTGCGTGTGTGTGTGTGTGTGTGTAAAAAGAAAAAGAGAAATCTGAGTATCCACATGCCTCTTCCAACACACTTAGGATTCTTTTTTCCCCCCAGACAAGGTTTCTCTGTGTAGCCCTGGCTGTCCGAGAACTTGCTCTGTAGATCACCAGGCTGTCCTCTAACTCAGAGATCTGCCTGCCTCTGACTCCTGAGTGCTGGGACTAACAGTGTATGCCTGGCAGACCTAGGATTCTTCTCTGTTGTTTTTCGAGACAGCGTTTCTCTGCGTAGCCATGACTGTCTCGGAACTCTCTCTGTAGACCAGGCTGGCCTTGAACTCAACTCAGAGAAATCCACCAGCCTCCGCCTCCCAAGAGCTGGGATTAAGGTGTACGCCACCACGGCCTGCTGTGATCTAGTTCTTAATACATAGTTGCCTTCTCCATCAGGTTTTAAGGCCACGACTAGCTTTCTCCTTCCTCAGAGGTCAAGACGCCAGCTTCTTCCTTCAGATCCTCTTCCTTCAGATCCAGGTCAGCCCTCTTCCGTCCAGGCATCCTCCCGGCCCTCCTCCCTCAGACCCAGATGCCCTCCCCGTCCTCCTCCTCTAGACCAGGCCTCACACACAGTCCTCCCTCAGACCCAGGGATTCAGGCTCCAGCCCTCCTCCCTTGGAGTACTCTCTTCCAACACTTCCCATAGGCCCACGTGTCCTCCCGAGCCTCCTTGAGAACCACGCGACTTCCTCAGCCCTCTTCCTTCAGACTCGTGCATCCACCTCTGCTCTCCTCCCTTACATGAATCCTCCTCTTTATCTCTTGCTCACACCCAGGATCCTCCTCAGCATCCTCCCTCAGGAGTCCTCCCCATCCTTCCTCCCTCAAAGCCAGGCACCTTCCTTATCACCCTTCCTTCAGACCCAAGAGTCCTCTCCAGCCGCCTCCTCCAGACTCCAGAACGAAGGTTATTCTTAGTTCTCCACATGCATCCAACACTTACCACAGTTGCCATGATGCACACCAACCGCCAATGCCTCAGCGGAAACGGAAATAGGCTAGGAGCAGCCTTTGTTCTCTCTAGGCTCCCCGGTCATCCAGTCATCTCTATGGTTTATAAACTCTGTAACCCTCTCCGAGGGGCGTACACTAGGCCGCGCCCACCCCACAGGCTAAATCGGAAGGCGGGTGTCTGAATCCTGGGCGGGTTCCTGACGTCTCCTGCTCCTCCTTCTTTTACCCAGCCTCCCCGCCCCCCACACCGCTAAGACCGATTGCAAAATTCTGAACACTTTTTGTAGCAACCACACGTCTTCCACGATCCCCTTCGTCTCTATCCGCCCTTCCTCCCCAAATTGGGGCCCCGCTGAGACTGACAGTTCTATTCACCAATTACTTCCCTGCTGCGCGGCAACAAGCCCCGCCCCCTGCAGTTCCCGGGCGGGTCTGGCCGGAGACACTGGATCCCATCCGCCAATAAGAAGACGCCGCAGTCCCCGTCCCCCAGACGCGGACCAATCGTGCTAGACCAGCAGGGCGGGCAGTGCCTCCTGGCGGCCGCAAGGCTTCACTGCAGCTGTCCGCCCCACTCAGTGTCGCCGCGCTGCCTACCTGAGTAGGAGCGCTCCGGGGCGGGGGTGCGGTCGTGCAATAGGAAGCGGAGTGCTTTGCAAGCTTCCCGTGGGACACCCGCTAACCCGGCCGGACACCGAGTCCGGTGCATCCCCAGCCGGTCTCTCTGGTTTCCATTTTTGGTGCTCCAAGTGCCCCGCTCGTAGCAGCCATGCCTCTCAGCCGCAGTCTCTCTATGTCCTCGCTTCCAGGACTGGAAGACTGGGAAGATGAGTTCGACCCGGAGAACACAGTGCTTTTCGAGGTGGCCTGGGAGGTGGCCAACAAGGGTGAGAACGCTAGCCTCGGTCCCATGACCGAGGAGGGCAGTCGAGGATGGGGGCCCAAAACTCTGATTCATACGGACACAGAGCTGCCGTGGGGGGACGCTTGGGTCCTGTGAAAAGCGCCTGTGACTTCTGTGTCCTTCTGAGAGTAGGCGTCCTAGGCCCTGGGGGGAAGGGACAAGAGACTACTCTTAAGATGGAAGGAGGCTTCAGGTCCTGCGATCTAGGGGAGAAGGCACTCAGAGAAAGATTCCTGGGTCTTGGAGGGAGGTTTTCGAGGGCCGAGAGACCTGGGATCTGAAAGGGGAAGAGCTGATGCATGTAACCCTGGCGGGCGTTGGAGCTTTTGGGTCTATGGTCCAGAGGATGTGACTGTGGACTAGAAAGAGCTGCTCCTAAAAGTTGGGATTCATGAATTCTTCAGGGAGCATGGCGGACCTGACCACTGTAGTGTAAAGATGGGGGTGGGGGGCTAGAATTCTTAGATCCAAGGTAGGAAAGAGTTGGGAACTTGAATGCCGAGCTGTGAAGGAGCCCAGGGCCGGAGCCATGGCTTCCTAAGAGGAGCGGTGTCTCCCTATGGCCCAGGTCACTTGCATGCTGGAATGGGAGGAACCCACAGCCCCCAGTTGTGTGTATGGGGGTCTAGGACCACTGCCTTCTTGCTCGTGAGGAGGCTGGGTTGGAATCCCCAGGAGCTGGGCTGTGTAGGTCAAAGTTTTCATTTTCTGAATCTTGGGGGAGAAAAAGACTGAGTTTCCGAGCATGGTGGGAACTGGCAGACTCAGGACTGTGTACTGCCAGGGTGCTGGTTCCAGATGAAGAAGCTGAAGACCCAGATTCCTAAATCTGAGGTGGGGTCACAGGAGGGGCAGGGCCCAGCCCTGAGTGAGCATAGTCAAGGGCCCTGGAGGTGAGGAATGTTAATTCCAGGTTCCTTTAGGTAACTGTGGGAAGCTAAATGGGGCCATGTACCATTCTTCCCAGTACATCTGAAAGTTGGGAGTTTAGAACCTGGGTCTTAGCAGGGCGGAGGTAGCGCACGCCTTTTATCCCAGCACTCAGGAGGCAGAGCCATGCAGATCTCTGTGAGTTCGAGGCCAGCATGGTCTACAGAGCGAGATCCAGGACAGGCTCCTAACTACACAGAGAAACCCTGTCTCGAAAAACCAAACTAAAACAAACAAACAAACAAACAGAGAGAGAACATGGGTCTCCGATCCTTGTTCTCCCAGCTCATAATTCCCTCAGACTAGGAGCCCTTCCTGTCCCAGGACCAGGATTCTAACTGGAGCCTGCTCCTCCCTCGACATCCTTTCTCCACTAGACCCAGGAGGGCTGCCCTCCGGTCTGCTCTCCATGACCCAAGCAAGCCCCAGCCCCTACCTCCTCTGATTCCCAAGCTTGGGCTCCTGCTGGTCTCCTGTCCCGTCACCCCGCAGGCAGGTCTCAAAGCTATGGACCAATGGTGGGGTTGTCTGTCCTTTGCACTTTGGCCCACAGTGGGCGGCATCTACACTGTGCTGCAGACGAAGGCCAAGGTGACGGGGGATGAATGGGGTGACAACTACTACCTAGTGGGACCATACACGGAGCAGGGTGTGAGGACCCAGGTGGAGCTGCTGGAGCCCCCAACGCCTGAACTGAAGAGGACTCTGGACTCCATGAACAGCAAGGGCTGTAAGGTGGGACACAGCCTACGGGGGGAGGGGGGGGCACGGGACGGGCCGGGGGGTCTGGGGCGGACGGAATGGACGGACATGACCTGCCAGCAGGGGCCTAGCAACAGACAGTAGAATGGAAACCGGAAGGCATGGATACAGTGGGTAGCGCTTTCCCAGCAGACCTAGGGAAGAAAGTGATAGACAGGTATGGGATCTGGTGAAGAGGGCCGGGGGGTACCAGATGTCTGTGAAACGTCAGATGGATGCAGGTGGATTTAAGCTACTCAGACCCACAGGGTAGAAACAAGCTGGAGCTAGACAGCAAGATAGCCAGAGCCAGGTGTTATGTGTAATCCCAGCACTCTGGACCATAACAAGATACTGTCTCAAAATAAATGAATAAAATAAAGAACAACAGCCAGACAAGCAAAAAGATGGACTATTGACGAAGAGAGGGGAGGCGGGGAATAGAGTCTGAGAGAGCCGAGCCAGGGACTAATGATAGGAGGCAAGGGGTGTGGCTCGGGATAGAGTCCCCTGCCTAGAACCCCCAATGAGGGACTAGGGGTGGGGCTCAGTGGTAGAGCCCCTGCGGAGCACGGTCCCTGTGTTCACTCTTAATCCCAGCACTCAGGAGACAGAGACAGGCAGATCTCTGGGAGTTTGAGGCCAGCCTGGTCTACAGAGAGAGTTCCAGGACAGCCAAAGCTGCACAGAGAAACCCTGTCCTGAAAAACAAGAAAGAAAGAAAGAAAGAAAGAAAGGAAGGAAGGAAGGAAGGAAGGAAGGAAGATGAGGGCCATAAAGAGAAAAACAGAGGGCAGGTGAGAAGAAGGAGAGAGCCTAAAGAGGTGTGTCTGTCCTCTGGAGAGAGGCCATGAGAGGCGGAAGTCACAAAATTAGGGACTGGAAGACAGACAGGTGCAGGGCGGGGTGGGCTCCAGCATCCAGTCAGGCCAGACCATGTCCCTACGGGACCCCAGAGCGGCCACATCCCTCCCCTAGGGCAGCTGTTCCTAATAATAGACCCCTCCCAGCAAAAGGGCAGACAACAGCTGGGCGGGGGAGGGGTACCCCAGTGAGACTCTGGCAGGACCAAGCTGGCTTGGGACAGAGGGACATCGAGTTTTAGGAACGTGGCAATGGGTAGGAAAGTTGTTAGATGTGTGATTACAGAACAGGAGATTGAGGAGAAAGTGGCGGGCTGCAATTCTGTCGGGCACAAATGGGGGCGGGGGGGGGGGGGCGGGGAGCGTGAGCCGGCTGAGCTCAGGACCAGGCTCGGGATAAGGCAGTGGGTGAGACATAAGGCTGGCTTGTCTGAACCTCCCTCTGCCTCTCTCTCAGGTGTATTTTGGGCGTTGGCTGATCGAGGGGGGACCCCTAGTGGTGCTCCTGGATGTGGGGGCCTCAGCCTGGGCCCTGGAGCGCTGGAAGGGGGAGCTTTGGGACACCTGCAACATCGGGGTACCCTGGTACGACCGTGAGGCCAATGACGCTGTCCTGTTTGGCTTCCTCACCACCTGGTTCCTGGGTGAGGTAGGCCCTGCGACAGACCCCGCCTCACTGGTGCTCTCTACCCAGACTTCAAACTCTCATCCTTCCCTCTTGGGCCAGAGGGTGGGCTTCCCCTGGGCATTCTTGGAATTGTGGGTTTTTAATCCAAGGGTCATGGCCATGGTTTGGGGGACATGAGTGCCCAGGAGTCTAGCTTCTTTCCTCAGAGCCCAGAAGAGCCAACCTCGGCTTCATTTTCTCTAATCTTCCAGGTGTAAACACACCAAGGCATTGCCTCCAGGGAGTCCTGTCAGTAGCAGGCCGGTTCACAGGAATTCTGGGAGTTGCTGTCTACTTGATATTGAGTGCGTCTGAGCACTTGGAGGGGACTCTTGGTGCTTACGGATCTTGAGTTGGTTTCAGAACCAGGAATCTGGGCTGCTCCACCACTCCCCTTATCCTAGAGTTTTTAAAAGTTTTAGGAAACTAGCCAGGCGGTGGTGGTACACCGCAGGCCTTTAATGCCAGCACTTGAGGGCAGAGGCAGGTGGATGTCTGCGAGTTCGAGGCCAGCCTGGTCTACAGAGTGAGTTCCAGGACAGGCTCCAAAGCTACACAGAGAAACCCTGTCTTGAAACACCCCTACAAAAAAAAAAAAAAGGTTTTGGGAAACTTAGCTACAATGCCCTAGGACAAACAGGAGCTACTTGATTCAAAGAATTCTGGACGTTTTTTACCCATAAAATTTTACTACCCCTGATTAAAATACCAAGTGTCCTGGAATTGTGAGCAGGACTTAGGGACATGGACATGTTGGTCCTTCCAGTTCTACCTTGCCAGGATTCAGACATTGGTAAACAAACAAACAACTCCTGAGGATGAGGTCAGCTGGTTGACCTAACTTGAGTTTAATTCCTTGTCTCTGCAAATGCTGCCTGCTGTGTGCATAATGTCAGTGGTCACCTCTCCCCTGATTCCTAGTCTGTCCGTGCTGGGGATTCCTCTGTGCCATGTGGAAACACCGTGACCCTGTCCCTCTTTCCCCATAGTTCCTGGCCCAGAGCGAAGAGAAGCCGTACGTGGTTGCCCACTTCCATGAATGGTTGGCAGGCGTTGGTCTGTGTCTGTGCCGTGCCCGGCGATTGCCAGTGGCCACCATCTTCACCACCCATGCCACACTGCTGGGCCGCTATCTGTGTGCTGGTGCCGTGGACTTCTACAACAACCTGGAGAATGTGAGCTGGGAGCATGGGAGACACAAGTATTGCATGACAGCCCAGAGCTCTGGCAGAGTCACGCTCCGTAGAGCCCAGGCTCCCAGCCCTTCCGCCATCAGACACAGGGCAGCCCCTGGCCCCCCTCCCTCAAACCCAAAGAACAGCCCAGACCCTGTTCTCAGAGTCCAGCTGCCGGTCCCAGTCTCCCTCAGGATGTCAGTGCAGTCCTGGGGCTCACCCCAGTCCTGTGCAGTCCTCTACCCTGACCCCCCCCCTTCCTGCCCAGTTCAATGTAGACAAAGAAGCAGGCGAGAGACAGATCTATCACCGCTACTGCATGGAGCGCGCGGCCGCCCACTGTGCTCACGTCTTCACCACTGTGTCCCAGATCACCGCCATTGAGGCTCAGCACCTCCTCAAGAGGAAGCCAGGTAGGGTCGGAGCTGTGGTCCCTCGCGTGGATGAGGTAAGGGAACATGCCAAGCCACGGAGAGTAGAACGTCAACTCTCCTAAGTCCTGGGTTGAGATGGTGACTTGTAAATGAAGCTGGCTGGCTGTGTCCTGGAGGGTAATAGGAGCTATAGTTCCTTTTTTTTCTCATTTCACAAGTGGCTAATATATGCCGATCTTCTGAAAGAAATGCAAATACACTGGGCTTTATTTTTGAATAAAGTAAGGTTGAAATTAGGTGTGCTCTTCCTGCCCCATATACTCCTCAACTTTGCCCTAGGTCCTGATGTGGCTTGTACTTTTTTTGTTGGTTTGTTGTAATTGTGTGTGTGTGTGTGTGTGTGTGTGTGTGTGTGTGTGTGTGTGCGCATACCAGTTTATGTTTCCATGCCTGTATTTGTCGAGACCAGAGGAGAATGGCAGGTGTCCTCTCTGTGACTATCTACCTATTTTTTAGAGGTTTATGTTATTTTTACTTATGTATATATGGGGGGGTATGTGCACCCACGTGTGCATGTGTGTGTGTGCGTGTGTGTGTGCATGTGTATGTTCACGGAGGGTAGAAGAGGACTTGGGTCCTGACCTTCAGATGGAGTTACAGGCTCTGTTAACCACCCAGAGTAGCTGCTACAAGAGCAGTAGGCTGGCTTGGCTGCTGGGCCGTTCCTCCCCACACCTTTAATAAGGCGGGGTCTCTCGTTGAACCTGGAGTTTTCCATTTTGCTGAGGCTATTTAAGCTCCCAGGATCGACCTATCTTCCCCCATCCCCAGTGCCGGGGTTACGGGCATACTTCGCCATGCCCAGCTTTCATTGAATGCTGTGGGTTTGATTTAGGACCTCTTTTTTATAAAATGTTAAGTTAGTATTTTCATAAGCATAGCTGTCAGTACCTCAACTCCTACAGATGGATGACCCCGTGGGGATCTGATGTACTCAGGGACTCTGGGAGGTGTGGCTTTTCCTCTGTCCTTCTCCCACTCTGAATTAGGAACTAAAAATACCACTGGTCCACTTCTCCCAAGATATACCTTCTCTTTCTCTTTTATTTTCTTCTTCAGCCAAGGTCTCACTTATGTACTCTGGGGTAGTCTTTTTCTTTTCTTTTTTCTTTCTTTCTTTTTTTCTTGTTTTTGGTTTTTTGAGACAGGGTTTCTCTGTGTAGCTTTCCGCCTGTCCTGGAACTCACTCTGTAGCCCAGGCTGGCCTTGAACTCACAGAGATCCGCCTGCCTCTGCCTCCCGAGTGCTGGGATTAAAGGCGTGCGCCACCACTGCCCGGCTCTCTGGGGTAGTCTTAAACTGAGGATTCAGTTACTGAAGTGCCTCAGTTTCCACAGTGTTGGGATTATTAGCATGCTCCCTCACACTTGGCCACAATACACTGTCTATCTTCATGCTTCTTTTAGGGGCTCAGCCATTTCTTCCCTGCATAGTTTTTAAAAACATTTTTTTATTCAATTGTGTGTCTGTGTCTGTGTGCATGTGTGCGTGCTCCCACGTACATGGACACTGGTTACTCTTCTGGAGGACCCAGGTTCAATCCCCAGCACCCACGTGGTGGCTTACAACCGTCTGTAATTCCACTTCCAGATCTGACACCCTCTTCTGGCCTTAGCAGGCAACATAGCCACATGTGGTGCAGAGCTGTACAAGCGGGCAAAACACCAATACACACAAAAGAAAAGGAATAAATCCAAAAAGTAAAATAAAAAGTGAAGAAGGCTCAAGTGTCGGAGCTGAGTCCGTCACACGGAGCTGAGCTCACGAAGGGGCCGCGGGACAGCGGGGAAGTCGCTTTCCCTTCCCGTAGGCATCAGTGACTTTGATGAGAATGAGGAATGAAATGTGGCCCTTCTCCCCGGTTCCTAGATATTGTGACCCCTAATGGGTTGAACGTGAAGAAGTTCTCTGCTATGCACGAGTTCCAGAACCTTCATGCTCAGAGCAAAGCCCGAATCCAGGAGTTTGTGCGTGGCCATTTCTATGGGTATGTGAGCCAGATGGCTAAGAGAGGGGGCCAGGGGTTGAGACTCCTGGAGCTGATGGAGGAGGGCTGGACTCAGGACCCTAGCTCTGAGGAAAGAAGACTCCCATGTCTCAGGGAGAGGGTGAAGCTATGTTCTCCATTCCATTCTTGATATCTAGAGCTATGAGTTGGGTATTAAATAAATATCCATCTAAGGCGGGAATCCTACAACTTGCATGTATCCCGCTGTTACCTGTGCATTGTAAAAAATGCTTTAGCCCTGAGGCTTCTGGGGTTTGTAGTTTTCAGAGCAGGGTTGGGAGCTTGCCTCACTCTTCCTGTGGCTTATTTTTAGGCACCTGGACTTCAACTTAGATAAGACTTTGTATTTCTTTATTGCTGGCCGCTACGAGTTCTCCAACAAGGGAGCTGATGTGTTCCTGGAAGCCTTGGCCCGGCTCAACTATCTGCTCAGAGTAAGGCCTGGTCCATGGAGGGGGAGCTAAAGGAGAAAAATGTGTACCTAGCCAGGGAGCCGGGGAGAGCAGAGACCTACCAGGTGGTTATGGAAACCCTTGGATAGGAGCAGAGCATAGGAACCCAGAAAGATCAGAAGTCAGGTCTGGTGGCACATGCCTATTATACCAATACCTGGGATGGGGGGGGGGGCAGCGAGGGGGGCCCTGAAGCAGAAGGATCAAAAATCCAAGGTCAGCTCTTTTTTTACAGAATGAATTCAAGATCAACCTGGGCAGTTTTGAGACCCTGTATCAAAATAAAAACAGGGCTGGGAACATGGCTCAGTGGTAGAGTACCTGCCTAGAATCCTCCAGTGAGGGGCTGGGGGTGTGGATCAGTGGTAGAGCCCTGCCTAGAATCCCCCAGTGAGGGGCTGGGGGTGTGGCTCAGTGGTAGAGCCCCTGCCTAGAATCCCCCAGTGAGGGGCTGGGGTGTGGTTCAGTGGTAGAGCCCCTGCCTAGAATCCCCCAGTGAGGGGCTGGAGTGTGGCTCAGTGGTAAGCCCCTGCCTAGAATCCCCCAATGAGGGGCTAGGGGTGTGGCTCAGTGGTAGAGCCCCTGCCTAGAATCCCCCAATGAGAGGCTGGGGTGTGGCTCAGTGGTTAAAGCACCTATCTATGCAGGAAACTTTGATTTTAATCTCCTTATATTGTTATAAAAAAAAGGAGATCCGAAGTCCCATAATTCCTAGCAGCGATGGCATGGTTGAGTCCAGCATCCTGACATCCCTCTGCTCCTTGTCCCAGGTGAATGGCAGTGAGCAAACCGTCGTTGCCTTCTTCATCATGCCGGCCCGGACCAACAACTTCAACGTGGAAACCCTGAAGGGCCAAGCCGTGCGCAAACAGCTGTGGTGAGCAGTCCTTGGCCAGACCCTGGGGGTCCGTACCTACCGTGTCCTTGGGCTTATCTCTCTGTGCCTATCTCTGACATGATCAGGATGCCACACCCGTTCCTAGTGACGTCAGCACTTAAAGCATGTGGCCTGGCTGGACAAGTGTGAGCATGTGCTTGGAGCAGATCATCCACAGTAAAGTTTCTGCCCTGCCACCAGCTGTGGCCTTCCTTGTTATTTAGCCGAGCCACTGCAGCCTCCCTGAGCCTGTTCCCTGCTCTCCGGAAGCCATCCGTTCATTGTCCACCAGTCTCTGAGTATCTCCATGTGGTGGGCGCTGTTCTGAGCATGTTTGAGAAGCGAGGAAGAGGTCGGAATACAGCTCAGCTGGAAGAGTGCCGGCCTGGTGCTCCATTTCTCTAATCCCAACCCTTGGGAAGGGGGGGCGGGAGGGTCAGAGGTCCAAGGTCAGGCTAAGCGCCAGGCTTCCCGGGCATGGAGGGGGCAGGTAGAGGAAAGAGGGGAAAGAGGAGAGGGGTCCAGGGTGGCTGGGTCAGCGTGTCCCAGCGAGGACGTGGGCTGCAGCCCTGGGAGGGTTGTAAGTCATGAGACAGCAGGGTGATAGTCTTTTCCGAACGTGTGTGCCAAGATGTTCCTCTCTCAGAATATTACTCCTCTTGTTTATAAAACAGGGCCCTAGTGTCACTGCCCAAGATTCATGCGAATCCTAATAATAGCTGACATTCTGGAAGGCTCAGTGGCTGGGCTTTCTTTTGACCTCTCAGGCTCTCTGCAACTCCTGAGGTTGATGCTATTTTTACACTCATCTCATAGATGAGTCACTGAAGCCAGAGAGGAAAGGCCACCTGTCCTCAGTGATGCATCTCAAGGAACTCAAGCGTTCTCCCGGCCTCTTCCTCCAATTTGAAGTCCCCCCCAGGGCATGGCTTCTCTACCAGACCTCAGTTTCTCTGTTGCTCCAAAGCCTGACAGTAAATAGTAGCTGGTGTGTATGTGGTATTTTTTCTCTCTCCCCTCCAGGGACACAGCCAATACAGTTAAGGAGAAATTCGGGAGGAAGCTTTACGAATCCTTACTAGTGTGAGTGCTCAGCCTTGGCTCTCTTCCCATTATTGGTAACCTGACCTGTCCCATCACTTCACTGTCAAATGTGTCCCCGTCCCTTGCAGGGGGAACCTCCCAGACATGAACAAGATGCTGGACAAGGAGGACTTCACTATGATGAAGAGAGCCATCTTTGCCACTCAGGTACAGTCAGCACCCCTGAGAAGAGTGCTGGCCATTCCCAGCATTTCCTGGGGCCTCTTGCCTCACAGGTTTCTGGGAGTTCTGTTTTCTTGGGTGGCCCTTTATCAAGGGTCCAGTTCTGAGGTCAACAGGAATGTCAGTGAGTTCCAGGACAGCCAGAGAAAACCCTGTCTCAAAAAACCAAAAAAGAGAGAGACAGAGACAGACGGAGTTTATCCTGGAGCCAAGCGTGACTATGGACCAGGAACACAGACTCAGGTCACCTGGAGCACCATGTACCAGCATGATAACAATTTTTTGACTTTTTATGATAACAGTACAAAGAAAGTAATAATGAAAGGTATTTTTTAAAATACATTGGTGGAGACCTCAGGTAAAGAGGGGAGCAGCAAAGGGGGGCATCTCAGCTAAGGGGCCATCATAGACCTAAGGTGCTGTCTGTGACATTTCTAGTCTTAGCTGGTGAAAACTGGGGTTGCGCTAAGTTGATACCCCCCAAAAGCTTTTATCTGTTAGTCATGGCTCTTATTAGGTCAGAGACAGGTGACGAGGAAGGGCTGTTTAGTAGACTGAAATAGCCCAAGAGAAATTTTTGTTGGTGGTATTGGTGGTGGATTTTATTGTGTTTTTGAAGAGTAGTTTTCTCTGCTTAGCCCTGGGCTACCCTGGATCACTCTGTATAGACCAGGCTGGCCCCAAACTCAGAGATCTGCCTGTTTCTACCTTTGGAGTGCTAGTATTAAAGGCGTGCATCACCATGTGGCTGTGTCTTACTTCCCACAGAACCCTCTGATTCCTCGGGTGGGAATTAAATGGATGGGGAACATTAGGAAGATGTGGCCCACAAAATGAGAACTTCATTTTGCACTGTATGACTGACTTCCTTTGCCCCCGAGGCTTCTGGGAGTTGGAGTTCTTTTATTTCCAGGGGTCAAGGGACTTTGGTGCCTATAGTCAGCATTGGTGAGGCTGAGTTTGGGGATCTAGACAGCTAACATGCACTACTGAGGTAGGATGCACTTTTGGATAAAATATTTCTGAAGTGAGGCAGCTGCTTCATACATGAATAACGCTAACGTGGGACTGCTTGGAGTCGGAGTTTGTGGCCCTCATACACCACCAATGTGTGTGCCCTTTAATGAGATGATGTAACAGTTGCAAAGAATTCTTCAGGGTAGAAAGGTCTCGGGTTTCCTATCAATCTATCTTTGTGTTGCAGCTGTGACTCCTGGGGGCAGGGGATGAATTTTCATAAGAAAACTACAACTCCCAGCTGCCCTACACCTTGCTCTCAAATGGACACAGCGGTCCACTTGACTGCCTCACTTGATCTTAGCCAAGAGACCGAGAAGTGATCCACTGGACGGCTTGACTGGGAGCGTCTAATTTCCTTGGGGTTTCCTTTTTGGGGGGGGAGGGGGGCAGGGCCAGCATTCTGCTGCCATCCTGGTTTATGTTACATGGTCACATCAACGAAGATGATGGTAAAGTCACATGGTTGCGTCCATCTTATCAAGGTTCCTTGGGGTTCCTTTAAGGACAGACAAAGGTATATAACAGAATACAGACACTTCCTCATAATCTGCGGAGTGCCTTAACACCAGCTCTGTCTCGGTTTAGCTGGATTTTTTTGTCATTTTGTTTTTGCTCAAAATAGTTGAAAGGAAAAGGCTGGGTTCTAGTCTGGAATTTGTTGACCTCTGTTGGTAGCATCTTCAGAACCCTGGTGTCGTCATGGCCCAGGAGCAAGCAGCAAATGGCCTGTCTCTCCCTTGACCCCCCCCCCCCCCACTTGTGATTTCTACAGCGGCAGTCTTTCCCCCCGGTGTGCACCCACAACATGCTAGATGACTCCTCAGACCCCATCCTGACCACTATTCGCCGAATTGGCCTTTTCAACAGTAGCGCTGACCGTGTGAAGGTGAGGGCTGGCCCGTGGTTGGGTCGGGTGGTGGGGTGGGTGTGCCGGGGGAAAGGGTTGTCCTTAGGCATCATGCTTCTTGTCTCTGTAGTTTATCAACTGTACTGTCTTAGGGTTTCCATTGCTGTGAAGAGACACCATGGTCACAGGAGTTCTTATAAGGGAGAACATTTAATTGGGCTGGCTTACAGTTCAAAGGTTTAGTCCATTATTATCATAGTGGGAATCATAGAGCCATGCAGGCAGACTTGGTACTGGCGAGGTAGATGAGAGTTCTCCATCAGGATCCGCAGACAGCAGGAAGAGACAGTGAGCCACTAGCCTGGCTTGAGCTTCTGAGATCTCAAAGCCTGCCCCCAGTGACACACTTCCTCCAACAAGGCCACAGCTACTAATGGTGTCACTCCCTATGAGCCTATGGGGGCCATTTTTATTCAAACCACCATATGCACTGTTTGGAAAGAACCTTGACTTCTGAGGCCAACTGAATTAAGTTGAGGTCTTTGGCTTGTTGTCCACTTTGCTGTGTATGTTTAGAGTAGTGTCCCCTCTCTGGACTACTCGGGGTGTTTAGGAAGTAGCTAAGCCCTTTTCTTCCATTGCCAGGTGATTTTTCACCCAGAGTTCCTCTCTTCCACAAGCCCTCTCCTCCCAGTGGACTATGAAGAGTTTGTCCGTGGCTGTCACCTTGGGGTCTTCCCCTCCTACTATGAGCCCTGGGGATACACGCCTGGTGAGTGCAGACGTGAGGGTGGCCGAGCGCCGGGGTCCGGAATGAACCTGCAACACGGCTCCTCAGTTGAGGGACGGTGGTAACAGCCCATCCTGTCCCCGTGTCCATTGTTGAGACACAGAAGTCGACGGGGCTCAGGACTAGACGACTGGTGTTCATTCCCAGTGGTTGTCACTAATAACCTCATCTCCAGTGTGCGGGTGTGTAACCCCTCAGAGCCATGAGCTGCTGATGAGCAAGACTGTCCCCAGTGCTCGCAGACCTGCTGTGTAGCCAAGGCTGGCCTTGAACTCCTGATCGTCTTGCTTCCACTTCCAGAGTGCTGGGGTTACCAGCCTGCACCACTGCGTCCTGTTTTTACAGTGGTGGCTGTCAGAACTAGGGCTTTGTGCTCGCCAGGCAAGCATTCTACCAGCTGAACTTCCTCCCCTGGTCCCCAACGCCTTTTGACTTCCTCTCCACACCTCTCTTCAGCCCTGAGCTCTGAGTTGGGGTATAATTAGCCCTCATTGGGGAGGAGACTATGGGTTTTTTTTTTTGTTTATTTATTTATTGTTTGGTTTGGTTTTTTCTTTTTCTTTTTTTTTTTTTTTTTTTTTGGTTTTTCGAGACAGGGTTTCTCTGTGTAGCTTTGCGCCTTTCCTGGGACTCACTTGGTAGCCCAGGCTGGCCTCGAACTCACAGAGATCCGCCTGGTTCTGCCTCCCGAGTGCTGGGATTAAAGGCGTGCGCCACCACCGCCCGGCTGGTTTGGTTTTTTTTCAAGACGGTTTCTCTGTGTAGTTTTGGTGCCTGTCCTGGATCTTGCTCTGTAGACCAGGCTGACCTCGAACTCACAGAGATCCGCCTATCTCTGCCTCCCGAGTGCTGAGATTAAAGGCATGCGCCACCACTGCCCAGCTTATTTTTGTTTTTTAGGCAGGGTTTTGTGAAACCCAAGCTGGCCTCAAGCTCACATGTATCTGAGGATGGCCTTGAACTCTTGACCTTCCTACCTCTATCTTTTTAGTGTATTATAGGCATGTTCATCAAATCTGTGTGTGTGTGTATGTGTGTTTCTGTGTCTGTCTGTGTCTACGTATCTGTCTCTCTCACACATACCCAGTGAATTATTATTTCTCTTCCTTACAGGGGTTGGGTGAGGGATTACTCAAAGGTGTGTGGGCAGCTCTAAAGCAGGTATATCACAGAGTAAGTCTCACCCATCTCCGTGACTGCCGAGATGGGGCCTCCCCCCACACTCTGTGCTGTAGGACCTCCTAAGACCACAAGACCAAGGAAAGCTGGAGCAGGATTCCATAGATCTGGGAGGAGATGTTGGCAGGAGTGGCTAGAATCTCCAGAGAGGTGTAATGCCCCACCCCCTCTTTCTGTGGGGGCGCATCAGCAGGCCCGGTCTTGAAAGTCACCACATTGCCCTATGAAGATAATAATGGTTGTTATGCCTGGAGAGCATTGTTCTATCATGGGATCTCTGTTGCCTAGGCTTGAACTCATGGCAGTCCTTGCCTTCGCTCACTGAGCCTTGGGATCACTATATATATTATTATATCTCACTCTGAGATCTTTTCTTACCTCTAGTGGAAACAGACTGTGAGCTGGGTGTGGTAGCACACTGGGAAAGCTGAGGCAGGAGAGTCATCATTTCAAGGCCTGCCTGGGCTCCCTCAAAAGCAAACCACTAACCAGCAGCTAGCGTGTATACCTGTAATGCTAACTAATGGGATGCAGAGGCAGGAGGATTAGGAGTTCAAGGTCATCCTTGGCTACCTAGTGAGATCAGGGCCATCCTGGGCTACATGAGACCCTGTCTCAAACAATAGGGCCTGGAGAGATGGCTCATCAATTAAGAACACTGACCAAGCGAGAAGTAGTGGTGTATACAATCCCAGTCCCCGTGGGCAGAAGCAGGCATATCTCTCTCTGTGAGTTTGAGGACAGCCTGGTCTACATAGTGAGTTCCTGTCTCGAGAAAACCAAAAATAAAATAAAATAGAGGACTTATATTCAAATCCTAGTTGGATTCCAGGGGATTCAACATTTTCTTTTGGCCTCTGCAGGCACTACATACATGTGGGCAAAACACCCATACAGATAAAAGATAAAAAAATTTCAAAACTACCAACCTATGGCCATGTAATAATCCAAAGCTTATACTCTGGCACACACACACACACACACACACACACACACACACACACACACACACTGTATCTTAATGTTGTTGCGGTTAAGTAAAGTTCTATCTGTCTGTCTGTCTGTCTGTCTGTCTATTTATTTTGAGACAGGGTTTCTCTGTGTAACAGCTGCCCTGGAACTCTCCCTGTAGACCAGGCCTGCCTCTGCCTCCCGAGGGCTGGGATTAAAGGTGTGCGCCACCACCGCCCCGCGGTTAAGTGAAGTTCTTTATGTGAGCCCGGCGCTAGTGTTCCATAAATAAATATCCTCTTCATCACGGACTTTTTCGCAGATTCACTTTTCTGAGTCTCTTAGCTTCTCTTCTAGAAATGTGGGGACCCCTCAGCACCCTTGCGGGTGCAGTGGGAATGCACTTGGCCCACGTGCCAGCAGGTGGCAGTGTAGAGGCGTCTCTTGCGGGGCAGGCTGGAGAGAAAGACCAGTTGAGTTTGCATTTCCCATTCTTGGCCCTCCAGCGGAGTGCACCGTCATGGGCATCCCCAGCATCTCCACCAACCTCTCTGGCTTTGGCTGCTTCATGGAAGAACACATCGCAGACCCCTCAGCTTACGGTCAGTGCGAACGGAAGACAGCATGGGGCCTGGCCCACAATTCAGACCTTTTTTTTTTTTTTTTAATAAACCCTGATCTCTGCCTCTGTAGGCATCTACATTCTGGATCGGAGGTTCCGCAGCCTGGATGATTCGTGCTCACAGCTCACCTCCTTCCTCTACAGCTTCTGTCAGCAGAGCCGGCGACAGCGCATCATCCAGCGGAACCGCACAGAGCGGCTGTCAGACCTGTTGGATTGGAAGTACCTAGGCCGGGTATGACCCACTTCCCTTTCCTTAGCCTCCTCTGGTTCTGTAGCCATCTGACTGGTGTGTCTAAAGGCTCCAGTGTCACTGAGCAGAGGGAAGGGGACATGTAGCAGGACCAGAATGAGAGACTGCTGGAGTCACCCAAATGGGCTAGAGCTGGAGATGGACGGGCGGTGGTGGCGCGCGCCTTTAATCAATCCCAGCACTTAGGACGCAGAGGCGGGCGGATCTCTGTGAGTTCGAGGCCAGCCTGGTCTACAGAGCCAGATCCAGGACAGGCACCAAAACTACACAGAGAAGCCCTGTCTCAAAAAGTGGCTGGGATTAAAGGCGCTACCAAGTGAGTTCCAGGAGAGGCGCAAAGCTACACAGAGAAACCCTGTGTCTCGAAAAACCAAAAAAAAAAAAAAATAAAATAAAAATTAAAAAAAAAAAAAAAAAAAAGTGGCTGGGATTTATCTGCCACTAGCTTGAGTGTAACCTCTGTCCTTGACGCGTTTTGCTCTTCTTTCTGCCCAGTACTACATGTCCGCACGCCACATGGCTCTGGCCAAGGCCTTTCCGGATCATTTCACCTATGAGCCCCATGAGGTAGATGCTGTAAGTGAAGCGGGGCCAATGCCGGGCAGGGACGGGCTGATTTGGGACTGATTTCGGTTGGTTGGCGGACACCTCTAGGGACTGAGGTGGCATCCATTCCCTCTGTTTTGTGCCTGCTCCGGGGCATGCAGACCCAGGGCTACCGTTACCCACGGCCAGCCTCCGTGCCGCCATCGCCCTCACTGTCTCGACACTCCAGCCCACACCAGAGTGAGGATGAGGAAGAGCCCCGGGATGGACCCCTGGGGGAAGACGGTGAGCGCTATGATGAGGAAGAAGAGGCTGCCAAGGACCGCCGCAACATCCGAGCACCAGAGTGGCCACGCCGGGCCTCCTGTTCCTCCTCCACTGGCGGAAGCAAGAGAAGCAACTCAGTGGATACTGGACCCTCCAGCTCACTCAGCACGCCCTCCGAGCCCCTGAGTCCTACCAGTTCCGTGGGCGAGGAGCGCAACTAAGCCTCTCTCCCCGGCTCCCTGCCTGCCCTGCGTCCCTCCTGGGGGCCTATACAGATGGGAGGGTACCCGAGTACCACTCCAGACCGAGTGAGACCCCTACCAGTGTGGTCCATAGCCCAGTTCAGACACTCCAGCCCTTCGGCTCCGATCTTGGGAGTCCCCACACTCCACTCCGCTGTGCCTTTCTCGAATTGCAGAACACATTCTTTATGCTCTGGCTTAGATTGGGTCCCAGAGGCCAGGAATCTGCCTTTGTTCTTCAATGCCAGAGGTTTTGGGACACCTGGTGTGTTGTTTTCCAGGCTGTGGCTTCGTTTGATCCTACAGCCATACAGAGGATGCTATGCGCAGGCCTGCCCTCAGAACCACCTGTTAGAATCTGTGCGGCCTCCCTGCAACTGGGACAGCCAAGTTCAGAGTTAGGACACCTCAGGGATTAACATAGTTGACTATGGGGCCGGAAAGGTAGCTCAGTTGTCAGTGCTTGCCTAGCATGCCCGAAGCCCTGGGATTTAGCTCTAGCACCCCCTAAACCTGGTGTGGTGGTGCACATCTGTAATTCCAGCACTCAGTAGGTAGAGGTATAATGGCCAGGAGTTTAAGGTCATCTGCTACGTAGGGAGTTAGTTCATGGCTAGGTTGGGCAACATGAAAGACTGTCTCAAAATCCAGCAAAGCAAAGGTCAGAATGTTTATGGTCCTCCATTTCAACCCACAACTGGGATGCCCGGACAGGCTGCAAGGTTGCTCTCCCCGGATGTCATGTTCATTTCTTCAAGGGAGCATGCAGAGTTGGACCAGAGGTTATTCTTCCCCTTGGTCTGGTGTCCCCTCCAGGAACCCCACAACTAACTGCCCAGCCTACTGTGAAACAGCTGGGCTCTGGCTCCCAGTGGCCAAATCGGGAGTCTTGTCACTGTGCTGCACCCCGGTCCCCTTTCCTGATCTAGAAACAAGGAGCCAACTGGCTTCTTGAAGCCCCACATGTACCTCGAGGCCTTTCTGCCTGCAAGCTTGTCCTGCCCCAGCTTCTGTGAATGGGCGGGCCCCTCACGTGCTGTGTCTGGCCTGAGGCCTTTCTTGGTTTGCGTTTGGAGGGGGAGGGCAGAAGGCGTGTGATTGGAGTGTGTTCAGAGATGAAAAAAATATACCTGTATTTAAGAGTTGCAAGTGTAACTGGACTCTTGATTGGTGGGTCTCCCTCCTTCCCCAATTCTCTATTTTTAAGTTTAATTTTTACGGATAGGCTCTTGGCACATACCCCGGGGTGGCTCAAATTCACGGCGGTCCTGCCTTCAGCCTCTTAAGAGCTGGCACTACAATACCAGGAGTCCCGGCTTCCTCTTGGTTTTAGTTGTGCTCCTGCCTGCTCCAGTCTTCTGTGGAAAGCTTTGGGTTACTGTTCTGAGATCCCAGTGCTTTTCTTCAGGAAAGGTGAATCTGACTGCTTAGATTTGAGATGCAAGTGGAAAAGATGCTTCGGTGACCTGAGGTGGGAAGCGGCTGACATGGAAGTCACTGGTGTACACAGCGGAGGATCTGGAGTGCAAAGCCTCCCTGACTGTAGAGTGAATTCCTAGTGCCAGCTTGGGCAATTTGGCAAGACTCAGTCTCCAATAGTGAGAAGCAGCCTAGGGGTGTGGCTAAGCAGGATGTCAGCCCAACAGGCAAGAACCTAGGCTCCACCCCCAGGACTTAGTTGTATTGGGGGGTCATTTTCCTGCTCATGTGACTGCTTACCCTCAAAATCATGAGTCTCTACCAGTGCAATGATATGGTCGGTTCATACAGCCCCTCGTATGTTGACATACTGGGCTGACACAGCAGTGTTGTCCAGTATCCCCCATCCTATCCACCCTGTGCTTCCCATGTTTGGGCAGCGGTACCAAGTTTCACATCCTTTTTTTGTTTTGAGACAGGGTTTCTCTGTAGCTTTGGCACCTTTCGTGGAACTCCTCTGTAGCCCAGGCTGGCCTCGAACTCAAGAGATCCACCTGCCTCTGCCTCCCATGTGCTGGGATTAAAGGCGTGCGCCACCACTGCCAGGCCTTCCGGGGGGCCCCAACCTCTAGGTCAGCATTCAGTGGACGTCCTGTGACCCCAGCTGCCCCACCCTAGCAGGCCTTGCACTGGCACTTCCCAGAAGCCAGGCAACTGGTTTTAGCTTCCGTTTGCAGTCTTAGCCAGCTCCGTCTAATGTGCTCTCAGGAGTGTAGCTCATTGAGGGTTACTCTCTGGCGGAGTAACAAAATTAACCAAGGACTGCAGCAGACTCCCAGGACCTGGACGTGCGAAGGCAGGTATCACCACCCTGTAGGTGAAGATCCCACCAACTATGTGGGTTCCCACAGGAAACAAGACCAGGGCCCACCTTTTCTTTCCCTGTGACACCCTCACAGAAACAGAAAAATCACCAGCTGCTATTTCAAAATGCTTTATTTTCACTTGGTCCCGAGACTTGGGAGGGGCTCCAGAGCGGTTAACAAAGCTGCCTAGAGGTTCGGGTGAAGGTCCTGAGGCTGGCTGGTGCAGAGCAGAGGAGGGAGCCCCTTGGAAGGTGAGGCCTCCTAGTCATGCTTGAGAGTGAGCCTCTCGAAGAGGTACTCGCCCAAAGATGGCGAGGGCACACCGGTCTGCGCTGGCACACCGGTCTGCGCTGGCTGCGGCCCAGTCACCCTGCGGAGGTTGGTCAGGTGGTTGCCCATCTTCTTGATGAGCTTCACCTCCACATCCAGGAAGTGGTTTTCCAGGAAGTCACAGAGCTGCAAAGGAAGGAGACATCAGACACCCAGTTGTCAGAGGCAGGTGTGAGCTGGAGGCAGGTGGAGTGTTCCTGGGAGTTCACAGCCAATACAGCAGCAGCAGTCTTGCCAAAGGGAAAAGGGATTGACAAGGCACTTACGTGAGGATCTGTGCGAGCAGAAGCCAGGGCATGAAGATCCAAGAGGGCCTGGTTCAGGCTCTTCTCCAGGACCAGGGCAGCTTCCATGGCCTCCAGGGATTTACCCCACTCATCCTGAGACGGCTTCTACACAGCAGAATACAATCACAATGTCTCAGAATTAGCCTTACACACTCCCTCAGCCAAGGACAAAACTGACTGCACAGGAAGTGGGTACAGTGGGGAAACATGGCCCATGTCCTTAATCGCACCAGGGATTGGGAGGTAACACAGGCAGATCTCTAGAGTTCGAGGCAACCTGGTCTACATCCTGAGTTCCAGGCCCATTAGGTAGGGCTACAAACTGAGAGCCTGCCTCCCCCAGACTGCAGCAGTCCTGTGTCCTAAACTTTCCCTGCGTTTCCCGCATTTAGTTGCCTCTACCCACATGCCCCAGGAGCCCACGTGGTGACCTGGCTTGTGACACCCTGTCGTCCCCCAACGTCCTGCCAATCCCCAGCCCCACACACACCCACCTCAAGAACGGCAGGCAACTTCCCGGCCGCCCGACCCCATCCGATCACATGCCCGCGGCACGCTCGGCCGAGTCCCAAGTCCGCCGCCGCTCTTACCTGCACGTCCTGGAATAGTGCGCGGCCTCCGCGTTCGTTCTGCATCTTGAGCAGCCGCTCGGCGCCCTCGCGCTTCTCCTCGGCCAACTCGCGGAAGAAGTGGCCGACGCCCTCCAGAGCCACGTCATCCCGGTCAAAATAGTAGCCCTGCGGGAAGAAGTATCACAACCGAGAGTTGACGGGGCGGGGCGGGTCGATCTGTGATTTCGAAGGCAGCCTGGCCTGCACGGAGAGTTCCCGCAGGCAGTCCACACAGTGCGTGCGTGACGCTGTCTGAAAACAAGGGCTGTGAGGGGGCGAGGCCGGAGCACGAGGTCTCCGCCCTCGGTGGAACAAAGGAGGCCGCGCATGCGCCGCGGGGCGGGCGAGGGCCAGCTCGGCGGGCAAGCCCCGGGCTACTCACCAGAGAGAGGTAGGTGTAGGAGGCCCGCAGGTGCAAGTTGACCAGGCGGTTCACCGCAGCCTCCACTTCGGTGGAGTAATTCTGACGGACCTGGGAGCTCATGGCTGATACGCAGTGGAGCTAACCGCGGAGAGACGGTGCTGGCTGGTCCTGCGAGCCGAAGGCGGCGAGGAGGTGGTCCCAGAGGCTGCGACTGGAGACACTGGGGGGCGGTCGGACGCTAACAAAGGGAGGCCCCGGGTCTGCTCCGTCCAAACACTGTTGAAGCAAGACACAGACGCGGGAGCTCCGGCGCTGCTCGGCCGAGGCGAGCGCGGCTCCTTTTATAGCATGCGGACCCCCGGGGGGCGGGACGGGCGGGACCAGGGACCAGCCAATCGGCGGCCGTGTGAGGCGGAGCTGGAAAACGGCACCTGACCAATCCTGAGCTGAGGAGACCCTCGGCCCCGCCCTCCTCCCGGGAGGGGAAGTCACGCGCCCGGAGCGCGAGGCCCTTGTGCCATGGAGGCTTGGGGGAGGGGCGGGGCGGGGGTCGCGGCTCGGGGTCACTGCGACCCCGAGGTGGGATCACTTTGAGGTCCTTCGGGGGTGTCTCACACACACAAAAAACAAGTTTGGGGACGTGCCGGGGGTGGGTGGGGTACCCGTACGGCGAAGCGCACGAATTGCCCCACCCGAGGAAGGGGTATGGCTTCAGGGGGGTGCTTGGTATGGAAGGGGTACCCAGAACCCTAGGGTTCTGATGGGAACGTCGATGGTTTGTTTTTTTCTGGAACCTCCTGGGGGAAGTCTTGAAGCCTCTGGGTAGTCTGCAGGACGGAGAGCGTGCTGAGACCTTAGGTTACCGGGTGCACGTACCTCCGGAGCCCCGGCCCGCCTGGCTGTCTGGGTCACGTGGTGCTGTGTCAGGGCCAGGGGGCCTGCTTTTTAGAAACTGAGGTGTGCACAGAAAAGTGATCCTGGGGGGATTTCTGGGCTGCCTCTCCTGGAGGCCGCTCCAGGGGCGTCCTTGCAGCTCGCTCTTTTGGAACTAGAGAAATCCTGAGAACAAGAACTCAAGACCCAGGAACAGAGTGTCTTCGGCCAAACACTTGATGCATGCAAGGTCCAGGTAGCACAGGACAGGCTCACCCGGGGCTCCAACCTCAGAAGCCTGAGAGGGGCAAAGGCGAGAAGGGCCCCGTCCGGAAGGCGAGCTAATGCGATCAACTGGAAGGAATGGTCACCGAGTCCTAGCCTGGGGCCTGGGGCCGGGGCCGGGGCCCTCAGTGGAGGGGGTGGGGTGGGCAAAGCTGCCGAGTCATGCTGAGCTCAGCCCCAGGCGCTGGGGGCGGGGCACTGGCCTCACCCTGGCTGGCAGCCTGTTGTGCCCCGCCGAGGGACTTGGGGGGGACATGAGGAGGGCTGTGGCCTGTTTTTCCCTGCCGCTCGCTCCTTCTTTCCCCGGGTGCGGTCAGGCAGTTTTACCCCAGGGGGTGGCTTGATGTCTGCGGTGCCCTGTTGATTTGGGGGCCAGAGTTACTCATTAACCACGGCTCTGCAGAGCCTGACCTTTGGCCTCCCACCTGACGGGCCTGGACAAGGCTGTGCAGGCAGAGTAAGACAAAACCACAGGAAAGAAGGACCCGGGGAGGGGAGGGGTGCGAGGAGCCTGAGGGCGTGGTAAGGTGGGGGGCTGCAGTCTCAGAACTGAGTGGAGGGCAAGGACCAAGTCCCCTTTAAATGTCCGCCTCCCCTGTTCACTTTCGGTGCCTCTCGGGCATCCAGCACCTAGGAGTTTGCTCCAGTTCCTGTGGCCTCCTCTCCCTCCATTCTGGACCTCTGGCCTCCCAGGCCTGCAGTTTACAGGCCCCAGGGCTAAGGAAGCCGCAGCTGCTACTTAGGCTTTAGGGAGCAGTGTGTTCCAGTTTGGCTGCCTCGGGCCAACATCCGGCCTGGTGCCTGTGCTTGTCATACCAGCTGGGTGGACACTTGACGATACAATCCAAGTGGACCTGAGGTTTATTGTCCCCTCCCCCAGGCCACCATTCCCACCCCTCCCAATAATTACAAAAGTAAGAAAAATGCCTGTCCCCTGTCCCCATTCATCTCCCCACCCCCCCAAATGCCATAATTTATGAAGAAAAAACACAGTCCAAGGCGGCGGGCGGCCTCAGCCCATCTTCTTCCAGATCGTGAGAGAGGCAGTGAGGATTCCAGCCACAAAGATAGTCACTGTCTGCCACGTGGGCGTCCCGAAGTAGGAGAGGAGGCCGTCCTGGGAACAGAGACGTCTGTGTTACTGCCACACCAAACTGCAGGGGGAAGGGTGGAGTGGGGGGCGGAGGTCACGTGACGGGATGCTAAGGGGATCCCAGGCCTACAATCCCAGCGCCCAACACTCAGGAGCCTGAAGCAGGAGGGTTACAAAGCTGAAATGTCAACCTAGGAAATTTGTTGAGACCCTCACTCAAAAACTAAGTTCAAGGTCAGCATATTCTACAAAGGGAGTCCAGGGCAGCCAGGGCACAGAGAAACCCTGTCTCAAAAAAACAACTAGGCCGGGTGGTCGTAGCGCACGCCTTAAATCTCAGCACTCGGGAGGGAGAGACAGGCAGATAGATCTCTGTGAGTTCTAGGCCAGCCTAGTCTACAGAGCAAGATCCAGGACAGGCACCAAAACTACACAGAAAAACCCTGTCTCGAAAAACAACAACAACAAAAAAAAAACCCACAAAAAAAACCCCCAACTATCAGAGGACCAGTGAGGTGCTCCTGTGGGAAGGCGCTTGTTGCCAGGCTTTTCTCCATATACACTCCATCTCCAGAGCCAACAGGGGAGAGCAGAGGACTGCACTATTCTGACTTTCACACACATGCCCACAAGCACACAGACATGCAAAATAAATAAATTTAAGAGGTAAATATGGCCGGGCGGTGGTGGCGCACGCCTGTAATCCCAGCACTGGGGAGGCAGAGGCAGGTGGATCTCTGTGAGTTTGAGGCCAGCCTGGACTACAGAGCTAGTCCAGGACAGACTCCAAAGCTACAGAGAAACCCTGTCTCAAAAAACCAAAAAAAAAAAAAAAAGTAGTAAATAAAGGGCTGGAGAGATGGCTCAGCAGTTAAGGGCGCTGGCTGCTCTTCCTGAGGACTCGTGTTCAAGTCCCAGCACCCACATGGCAGCTCACAACCGTCACAACTCCAAGATCTGACACCATCACACATACATGCAGGCAAAACACCACTGCACATAAAATGAAAATAAATTATTTAAAAAAAATTAAAAATACCCCCCCCACACACACACACACAATCCCCAAATGGAAAAACAAAAACATGATTATAATCTGGAAGTGGTGGCCCACACCAGTAATCCCAACACTTGAGAGGATGAGACTAGTGTGGGCTACACAGCATGAACCTGTCTCAAAAGAACGAGGACAGAGGCAGCAGCTCGGCTGGCAGAGGGCACAGGGCCTGGATTCTACCCCAACACCTCACAAACTGGCACGATGGAAGCAGGACGATCGGAAGTTCAAGGGCTATAATTCCAAATTCCAGAGTTATCTGAACCTGGAAAATATTTTCTCTGTAGAAAATAATAAAAACGGTAATATTTCCAATAAGCCCTTTTAGGCCAAACAATAGCTGAATTATATATATATAAATATTGATTAGATTCTGGGATACAGAAGAATTATAACCTGTTTTTATGTTAAAAAACCATTTAAGTGGAAAATGCTGAAGGACTACTGAACTCGATGTTGCATTTACATATCTGTATCTGTATAAAATAATGATTATAAATGATTGTTTAAAAATGTGAAGTGTATACTCTGGTTTCTCTTCAGATCGTATAACTCTTTCGCCTTTTACTAAAAATGTGAAGTGGCCAGGCGTGGTGGCTCATACCTTTAATCCCAGCACTAGGAAGGCTGAGGTAGGTGGATCTGAGTTCGAGGACAGCCTGGTCTACAGAGAGAGTTCCAGGATAGTCAGAGCTACACAGTGAGACCCTCTCTCAAAAAAAAGGGGGGCGGGGCTGGAGAGATGGCTCAGAGGTTAAGAGCACTGGCTGCTCTTCCAGAGGTCCTGAGTTCAATTCCCCACAACCACATGGTGGCTCACAACCATCCATAATGAGATCTGGTGCCCTCTTCTGGTCTGCAGGCATACATGCAGGCAGAACGTGATATACATAATAAATAAGTCTTTTTTAAAAAAAATAAAAATGTGAAGTGCAAATGTGAATTTAACAAGAAGCTGTAGATTTTCAACACTGTACACAAACTCCTTTGTTACAAATAAATATTTATGCTTCTTAAAAAAAAAAGTTCAAGAGCATCTTCAGCTACAGAGGAATTTTGAGGCTAGCCTGAGATACATGAGACCATCTCAAAAAATAAATCAAGCTGGGGTCAAAGAGTCACCAGTGCACTTGAGAGATTCTGGAAGGAAAGGCATCTATCTGCTGGTACAAATCAAGTAAGGTCACAGAAGTCAGTAGATACCAGACGCACCAGGATGGTATATATAAAAACAGATAATGTCTGATGGCCTGGTGCACCCCTTGGTTCTACTTAAGTGGTTCTCAATCTGTGGGTTGTGACCCCCATCCCATATCAGATATCCTACATATCAGATATTTACACTATGATTTGTAAAAGTAGCAATGAAATAATTTTATGGTTGGGGTCACCTCAACATGAGCAACTGAAGAAAGAGTCGTAGCGTTAGGAAGGTTGAGAACTACTCATCTAAAGTGTGCCAAGGACTAAAGGGTCTCACCCAGCCACCCTGGTCTTGGATCCAGACAAGCAGCCGCTCTCGGAGGAAGTCCAGTGTCCAGCCCATGATGGTTCTGATTAGCTCGGGTACTTTGGTGCAGAGGGCCTGCAGGGAGTAGGAAGGTTACACTGGGGACTGAATCCTGTGCCCATTCCTGGCGGTGGCCTCAGGCCTTGGCTTTCAATCCTCTGCCTCTACTAAGCACTCTCTCCCCTTCCCCCCCATAGTTTGAGTCAGCTCCATTAAACTAGAAAACTCCACTGATTTGCTCAGGAACCCTCGATGATTCCTCAGTGCCCTCTAGGTAATAACTGAAAGGCAGGGCAGCGGTAAGGCTCAATGGTAGAGCACTCGCCTAGCATGTGTGTGCCTCTGGTTCCATCCCCAGCACCACAAATACTGGGAAAAAGAGAACTACAAGTGTGTGTGAGCTACTTTCAGGACCCAGACACTGAGGTTTGATTTGAGACAGGTTTTCTCTATGTAGCCCAGGGTGTCCTGAACTCTCTGTAGACCAGGCTGGCTTAGAACTCTAGAGATCCAACTGCCTCTGCTCTCTGAATGCTGGGATTAAAGATGCGTACTACCACTCCTGGCCCAGATACCTAGTCCTTTTGGAAGGACAAGAATGTGGAGGACTCTAAGGGGACTGAGGCGTACTTCTGGGTCCCTGGGAACAGTAGCAATCTGGAAAAGACCGAATGCCCACATGGCCCATGTGAAGACCTGCGCCCAGTTTTGTTGTTTTGAGCTGGAGTTTCCCAACAGTGCCCAAACCAATCTTGAACTTCTGGACACAGTGTGACTGGGATGATATGCAATCCACCTCTTCACATCTATCACTCTCTGATGCAGGCTGACTCTGACTGAACAAGTCTTAATTCAGCAATTCTCACCCCTCAAAGCTTGGGTCCTAAGCCATCTTCTAGAGGTTTTCTAGACCAGGTTAAGACCACCTCCTGGCAGACTCAGGACTTGCTCTCTTGATTGGAACAATGCTCTCTTCCCAGCCTGCATTCTGGGTCCCAAGGGGGACTATTGTACGGACCACTATCCTTCTGCCTCCAATACTGAAGTCCCGTCAGCTCAGGCAGGAGACCACATCAAGAAGATGGAAGGTGGCATGGACGATGGTCAGAGTTCTTACTCTGTGTAAGAGTAAGAAAAAAAAAAGAAAAAAGACAAAAGAAAAAAGGGAAATAAAAGAAAGGAAAAAAAAAAGAGTGTACCGAACATGTGACAGTACCATTAAAAATAACAAAATATGGCAAGAAATAGCTCTGCCCCAGTCTCCCTGCTCCTGCCCTAACATACCTACCAGAGTCTGGTCTCCATATCTAAATGTTCTCCATATCTAAAGATGACCTTGAACTCCTCCTACCTCCAACTTCCTAAGTCCTGGAACTGCAGGCATGCACCAACCACACCTGGTTTATGTGATACTGAACCCAGGGCTAGTGTATATGCTAGGCAAGCACTCTTATCAACTGAGCCGTAGTCCCAGCCCCCTATTTATGTTTGTGTATTGTGATGGGAGATAGAACCTAAGGCTTCACACATGCTATGCTGAGGACCCACTATTCAGCCACATGCCCCCAGCTTCTGTCATGCCCATTTCTGGGGTTTGTTTTGTTTTTTTTTAAACTGGGTTTTAGGTAGTCCTGAAACTCAGTATTTAGCTACAGTTAACCTTCAACTTTGATATTCCTACCTCAGCCTCATGAGTCCTAGAATCACAGGCTTAAGCCACCACATCCACTTTAAGGCCACCTATCCTGAGAAATCTTTCTAGACTTGTCTGATCTATCTCAATATTCTACCTTACCTCAACTTCACACCTAACAACCAACCAGAGCTCCATCAAGGAAGGGCTAGCTTGTTTTGTTCTGGGCAGAGGCCAGGTAGTGGGGTCAGGCCATCAGACGTTTGGCCCAATACATTTCTTGAATAAGTAAATACACAGCCATCTTTCTCCACTCCCTGGACCTGACCACTGCCAGGTAAATCACAGACCTGAGGGTACACCTCTGGGCCCATGACCCTGCAGCTGCCCACCTTGAGCACCAGTTTGCTAGCAAAGTAGAAAAGGGCAACCACCCGGCCCCAGTTGAAGTTGCCATCAGCAAACATCTCTGCTGCCACACGGAAGAAGACCTCTCGGGGGGAGTCTGTATCCACGTCGGCAATCATCCTACAGGAGAGAGAAGAACAGCTAGCTGCTGCTGGGCAAGATGGGCAGACTCAGTGCAGGAGTTCCCACAGCTTCCCCAGACTAAAGAAAAGCAAACAAAGGCCAGAGCCAAGCTGCAAAAGAGGATAACAAGCTGGGAAGGAGACGAGACCCCTGAGAAAGCAAAGAAAAGGAATAGGACCTCGAATTAGTTTCAAGGTCCTGGGGAGTAAGTGACTAGGGCCTTAACTCAGCAGGAGCATGTTCTCCTAGTATCTACTAGTGGAGGGCAGTAGAACAACCCGCCTTGAAGTGTGACTTGGTGGTTAAGCACCTGCCTATGATTATCAGTGAGGTGTCAGAGGCATGGCTCAGTGGTAGAGGACCTGCAAGCATCTTCCAGTGAGGGCCTGGAGACATGGCTTTCTGGTAGACTATTTATGTAGCATCCACTAGTAAGAGGCTAAAAGTAGAGCCTGCCTAGCTTTCAGCAATGAGGGGCCGTGGGCGTGGCTCACGAGTAGAGCACTTACCTAGAACCCACTAGTGACTAAGAAAAGACTTGCCTAGCACACAGCAAGCCAGGGGCTGGGCTCAAGGGTAAAGGGCTGGTCTACCATGTAAAAAGACCCTGGAGTCTGTCCCCAGCAAGGAACATCTGAGCTGCGTGGTGGAACACCTGGTTCCTTGGGAGAACAAAAGTGCACAGCGCCTGCGTTCTTGAGGTGGCAGGAAATCCCTGGACGGACCCCACGATCCAGGAACCACACCTCTGCAGCTCCATGTTGCTGTCCAGCTCATCTCCAATTCGCCTGAGACACTCGCTCAGCTTCTTGGTGGATGCGTCCTGGGGTGGCTGCTCTAAGGTCAGCTCAGGTGTCTCCCCTGCCATCCTCCCAGCTCGGTCCTGGATGAAACTAGATGTGAATGGAAGTGGGGGAGGGAGGAGCAGAGTGAGAACCGAGTGTTGCTCCTGAAGCCCACCCCACCACAACAGGGCCTCACACTCACCCCTGTAGCAAAAAGGCTCCTGTCTTCATGATCTGCTCAGAGCTGGTGGGCCCTGGTGGAGAGAGGAGGAAAGGGGTGCCTGGACTCATAGGTCCCGGGAAGTCAGGGGGCTGGGGAGGCTCATAATCCTGAGGGGAGACAGAGCTGGGTACCCTAGTAGTGACAGGTAACATGCAAAGCCGGGCGACTGCTCCTGATGGACAGGGGGCGGGACCCGGCCTGCATTCCGGCTCCTCCGAAGACGGAGACAGGGCACCAAGAGCAAACAGACGCCCGGCCCGAGGGGCGGCGATGGGACCCGGCCCAGCCCAGGCCACCAGCAGGAAGTGGCGCTAGAGACAAGCCCGGGCCTGCCCGGGGGCGCGCACGCGGAGGTCCGCTCTCGGGGGTGCGGATGCGCCTGGCGGGATGGATCCGTGCGCCCCAGCCTGCTCCCGCCCGAGCCCAGAGCCGACGGGGTCCCGGGGTCCCTCGACCCGGCCTCGTCCTCCACCTCCCGCCTCACCGCCGCCTCCGAGCTGCTCCCCCGACCCGTCCATCACTGCCGCCGCCTCTCGCCGGGTGCGCCCCGGGCGGCTGCGGCGCGTCCCGGTCACGTGACCCCTCGCGGCCGCGCGCCCTTCACGTGGGTGCCCCGCAACATGGCCACCGCCCCGCAGTGCTGGTCACGTGACTTCCGCGTCTGCCGGGGCGGGGCCTCTGGCGCAAGAGTGCGCGTGCGCGCTTCCGCCTGAAGCCGGGCTAGTGCCCGGGGTTCTTTTCTTCCATTATTCCTTTTTCCGTAGCTCTCTGGTAGAGAGCTCTAGGGAGGCTGAAGCAGAAGCATTATGTCGAGTTCAAAGCCTGCCCAGGATATGCAACAAAGCCTTGTCTCAAACAAAACAAAACAAAAAACTGAGACCAGGCATTTTGTCATCCTAGCACACTGGGAGGCCGAGGCAAGCAGGGCTCTGTGAGTGCGAGGCCAGCCTGGTCTACAGAGTGAGTTCCAGGACAGCCAGAGCTACAAAGAGAAACCCTGTCTCAAAAATCCAAAAAAAAACTCCAAAGAACCTACCTCAAAAATAAAGAACAGGCAGTATGTGAGACCCTCACTCGAAACAAAAAAAAAAGAGAGAGGAAGGGGATGGGGAAACCCTGGTATTGTGGCCCAATTGTCAAACAAAGAAAACAAGTGAATGAGAGAAAGAAAACCTTCAGAATATGGAGTAGCAACAGGCAAGGACCGACTCGAGGGTACTAGGAGGAATTTATCAGTCTTCTGAGGGGTGGCAGGGACGTGGTGGAGACAGTCATCTGGATGTCAGGAAGCCACTTGGCTTGAGTCCTCTGTTTTTGGGTTTTTTTGTTTGTTTGTTTGTTTTCAGACAGGGTTTCTCTGTGTAGTTTTGGTGCCTGTTCTGCCTCCCGAGTGCTGGGATTAAAGGCATGCTCCACCAACACGCGGTACCAAGTTTTTGTTTTTCTTTTTTAAAACTTTTTATTGATTCTTTGTGGATTTCACATTATGCACTTTGATCCCACTCCTCTCCCTGTCCCCTCGAATCCACCCTCTGCCCTTTCGACCTCCTCCCTCCCAAAACAAAACAAAATTTAAAAGAACAAACAAACAAAAACAATAAAAAAAATTCTCGGTGTGGAACCTTTACCAACCCCACATCTGACAGAGGACCGATCTCCAAAGTATATAAAGAACTCAAGAAAGTAGACATCAAAATACTGAACAATCCAATTTAAAAATGGGCTAAAGCCGGGCGGTGGTGGCGCACGCCTTTAATCCCAGCACTCGGGAGGCAGAGCCAGGCGGATCTCTGTGAGTTCGAGGCCAGCCTGGGCTACCAAGTGAGTTCCAGGAAAAGGCGCAAAGCTACACAGAGAAACCCTGTCTCGAAAAACCAAAAAAAAAAAAAAAAAAAAAAAAAAAAAAAAAAAAAAAATGGGCTAAAGAGCTAAACAGAGAATTCACAAAACAAGAATCACAAATGGCTGAAAGACATTTAAAGAAATGCTCAACATCCTTAATCATCAGAGAAATGCAAATCAAAACGACTCTGAGATACCACCTTACACCTGTCAGAATGGTTAAGATCAAAACACTAATGACAGTCAATGTTGGAGAGGATGTGGAGCAAAGGGAACACTCCTCCACTGTTGGTGGGAATGCAAAGTTGTACAACCACTGTGGAAATCAGTATGGCAGTTTCTCAGAAAATTGGGAATCAATCTACCTCAAGACCCAGCCATACCACTCTTGGGCATATACCCAAGGAATGCTCAATCATACCACAAAGAAACATGCTCAACTATATTCATAGCAGCACTATTTGTAATAGCCAGAACCTGGAAACAACCTAGATGCCCGTCAACCGAAGAATGGATTAAGAAAATGTGGTACATATACACAATGGAGTACTACTCAGCAGAGAAAAACAATGAAAGCATGAAATTTGCAGGCAAATGGATGGAACTAGAAAATATCATCCTGAGTGAGGTAACCCAAACCCAGAAGGACAAACATGGTATGTACTCACTCATAAGTGGATTCTAGATATATAGCAAAGAACAATCAGACTGCAACCCACAGAACCAGGGAGGCTATATGGCAGGGGGGACCCTGGGATGACTGTGGCTTAGAATAAGTTTTGGTTTTACTCAAAATAAATAAATAAACAAAACAAAAAAATGTATATCTAAAAAAAAAAATTCTCGGTGCGGAAGCTGTAGTGTGGTCCAGTGAGTCATGCAGTGTACCCTTCAATCCATACATCTTTACTTGAAAGTGTTCACTGCTATGAGTCATTGGTGTTTGTTTGTTTTTTCTCTGCGTAGCCCTTACTGTCCTGGAACTCTCTGTAGAACAGGCTGGCCTCGAACTCAAGAGATCTGCCCATGTCTGCTTCTGCACTGGGATTGATTAAAGGCATATCTAACATAGGCAGCGTTTTTTTTTTTTTTTTTTTGCATTGGGTTTTATAATGCTTCACATCTTCACATCACTGTAATTAATTATGTATGCAATTTTTTTTAGTTAATTGAGAAGCTACCTCGACTTCCCAAAAGGGCTGTATTCATTTGTTGTTAACTCCCTAGGATCTAACACACCTCTTGACTCGTGGTTGTCTCCAAATGGATCATTTTTTTTTTTAAAGATTTATTTATTTGTATACATGTATGCCTGCAGGCCAGAAGAGGGCGCCAGACTCATTACAGATGGTTGTGAGCCTCCATGTGGTTGCTGGGAATTGAACTCAGGACCTTTGGAAGAGCAAGCAGTGCTCTTAACCTCTGAGCCATCTCTCCAGCCCCAAATGGATCATTTAATGTCTGGCTAAATATCAGGAATATACAGGAGACCCTGGCTGCCTCTGAGACTCAAGACGTCTCCAAGACCATATCTGTCCCTGGGCCGTGAGAAGTGAGTTTCCCATGAAAACTGAGGTAGAAAGAAATGTTGTGATTTGTTTTCCCATGGGTTCATATACTGGAGAAGATAGGTAGGTCCTCGGTGTCATGTGAAGAGGTCGTGGGACCTTTAAGAGGAGTTACCTAATGGGAGGACATTGGGGCACTGCCTTGGAAGGAGCTGGAATAGATCTCATGAAGTCCTGTTGGGTTTTCTGCCTCTGGAGTGCTGGGATTGAAGGCATGCCCAGCAATGGGGGCTTTTTTTTTTTTTTTAAGATTTATTCATTTCATTTTATGTGTTTGAGTGCTTTGCTTATGTGCTTATATGTTCACCACATGTGTGCTTGGTGCCCATGGAAGTCAGAAGAGGGTGTTGGATCTAGAAGTGGAGTTACAGATGGTTGTGAGCCACCATGTGGGCGCGGGGAATTGAACCCAGGTCCTCTGCAATAGCAACAAGTGCTCTTAACCTCTGAGCCATCTCTCTAGCCCCTTGTTTTATTTATTTATTTTTTTAAGAGAGCAGGTTGTTGGGCTCTAGATGTAGCTCCATTGGCAGAGTGTCTACCATACATAATACCCTGGTCTGCAAAGCCAGGACAGCCAGAAATTTGGTGGTTTTTCAATACAGGGTTTCCCCATGTAATAGCTCTGGCTGTCCCAGAACTGGCTTTGTAGACCAGGCTGGCCTCAAACTCAGAGAGATCGACTCAGAGAGATCGACCTACCTATGCCTCCTGAGTGCTGGGAGTAAAGGTGTATGCCACCACCACCTGGCTAATTTTTTTTTAGATGTATTTATTTTATTTTATATGTATAAGTGTTTTAAAAGCCTGTGAATGAAAATAAATAAGTAAGAAAGGACATGACTGCTCCTAGGTATAGTGGAGGAGAAAGTTTAACCAGGTGCAGCAGCCAAGAAGGCCAGGTACACAAGGGGGCGGGTAACCGGAATGTCGGGGTTATATAGGGAAGAGCCTCTAGGGGAAGGGCAGCCCAGCCCCTAGACTGGAGAGTCCAGCGTAGAGGGCTGAGGGATGCTGGGAGAAGCTGGCGGCCAGGTCGGCTTTGATATGTTAAATAGGCAGCTCAGCTGCTTGTCCCGCCCGGGGTTGAGACCTAACAGCCTGCCTGTTACTAGTGTACCCTGCGTTTGCCTGGTACCCAGAGATCAGGAGAAGGCATCGAGGTTCCTGGAACTGGGGTTAAAGACAGTTGTGAGCCACTTTGCGAATTCAATCTTCATCTTTTTTTTCTTTTTTGGTTTTTCGAGAAAGGGTTTCTCTGTGTAGCCCTGGCTGTCCTGGATCTTGCTCTGTAGACCAGGCTGGCCTCGAACTCACAGAGATCCTCCTGGCTCTGCCTCCCGAGTGCTGGCATTAAAGGCGTGCGCCACCACCTCCCGGCCATATCTTCATCTTCTTCAAAACCAACAAGTACTATTAACTACTGAGTCATCTCCCCAGCCGCAGTGTCTCTGTCTGACCTCCCCACCACCCCCAAGTCCTCACCGCCACCATTCCCTCTCTAGGGTCTCACCTTGTAACTGGCTGGCCTGAAATTTGCTATGTAGACCAGGCTGGTCTTGAACTCATAGTTACCTGCCTGCTTTTGCCTCTGAGTGCTGGGATTAGAAGCATGCACCATTACACCCGGCTGCCACACCCACTCTTAATCAGTCCCTAACGGGGAAACCAATCTCAGGGAAAGGGAGAGGGACGGAGAAAGTCGGAGCAAGCATGACACACTCACTGTATTTCACATTCCTTCAAGGCCATTTTGGGTTTTTCACTGTAGAGTAACAGGCCAGTGGAAAATCACCCTACCCCTGGACTGTCCCCAAACCTGGGACTTTGAAATCCTCACCCCCATGACCCAGGATTAATGGCCTAGTAATACTTCTGACTGTTCTGTACATGTCTACTAGCTCAATGTGCATGCTTCAAAGACGATACAAAAGCCTGCTCCTCTGCCCAGCCCACTGCTCTCTCTGTTCTGGTCAGAGGTAGCTGCCATTCTGGGTTTCTTCCCAATAAATCTCGTATGAAGTTTGTTGCATGGTGTGACTATGGTATTCCTTGGCTCCAGATCGCCAAGATCCCCTTGGACCAGAAAACCCTTTCACTCACGCTTCCCAAAGCAGCATCCTGGTGAATCTGAGGGCAGGTGATAACAGAATGTACGTACAGTAAGAACAAAAGCAAGGTGACTTTCAGGAGCCCAGAAAGGGAGTGGTTTCCAACATGAGAACTTGAGCTGTTGTACAAAAATAACTCCAAAGCAAAGAGGGTCAAGCTCGGATGCCTCAAGTAGGAAAAATTATTGCTTGCCATGTCCATCATCATTCATCCTGGGGGAAGACGACTCCAATAGCCTTCCTCACCTCCTCAAGGATTTCAGCCAAGAGCTCACTCTCTGCCAGAGGAATTACAGGACTTTCCTTAAGACCTAGGAGGAGAGAGCACAGGAAGACTCATACAAAACCCACACACCAACACCAAGAAGAATACAATTCCCAGAAGGACCCAGGGAATTGGTGGGGTGGTTTGAGAGGGTGTATGTTCCTCGGCATCCTGGGAAATGTAGTTCTAAATAGCTGTTTGCATTTGAGGGTAGGAAAGAGAACCACCTTCTGCTTAGACTGACACCGGGCTGCAATCCTCCACTCCTAACCTTTACGCAGGCACTCGCGGACGTGGTTGGCTTCATAACTCAAGCACGATCCATTTAAAAAATTGTACTCTTTCCCGAGGACAGGCGGAGGGAATTCTTTATGCTCGTCATTCACCACCAGCTCTGTTGGGCACCATATTTTGCGAATCTGGAGAAAGATAACAATGAATACTACTCAGCCCTTACCAACAAGGCTTCGAGGGCTTTACTCCTAACAGCAGGGATGAGCTCTGGTACCCGAGAGCTAAGGGTTCACCCCCATTCGATTTGTGAGGTTCAAGCCTGCCTCTTGCCTGAATTGGGTTTGAAAAGTTTGCTTCTTAGCAACGATCATGTCATACTAAGACCCTGTTGTCTCCTTAGAATCAAAACTACCTTAAACTTGAGGACCAGCTCCTCCTTCAGCCAAGTAATAAAGACTCACTGCCACATTGTAGGCTGGCATCATCACTCTTGGCTCCCATCATTTTATTTTTTGAGACAGTGGTAGGTGTGGGTGTGTGTATGTATGGGGGTGTCTCATGTAGCCCAGGCTGAATTCCAACTCCCAGTGAAACTGAGGTTGACCTTGGACTTCTGATTCTTCTGCCTGATATTACAAGCGTGTGCCACCATACCTGGTTTCCATACAACACCTTCTGTAGCAAGAGATCCCACAGAGACATTGCATCTGGCTTAACTCCAGAGTGCTAGCACCTAGGCTTTGAGCTACCTTTTGTTACTGTTACCTTTTGTTTGAAGTGTTTGATTCTTTTTTTTTTTTTAAATGTGACGCAGGCCACAGGCTCTGGTTTTTATTTGGAGGTAGGAGAATAGTCTGTTCCCATCTCACTCTTGCCCCGATTCCAGGTTCTGCTTCTGGGTAGAATTTAGAGACTTGGTGTTGGGCAAAGGGACACCCTGAAGATATAGAAGCACATTTCATAGACATAATAAACTAAAGGGGAAATTGTGGAAACAAGACAGTCACCATGGAGTTTGAAATGCCTATTGTCCAAGGATCCTTCTGTGAAGAAGATGAGGCAATCTCACAGATCATTTCTTGGACTGGACATCAGCTGTAGCTGAGTGGTCAGACTCTCCACATTCTTCTTCTCCAGTCTCTTGGTGAAGAGTGTTTTGGTGGATGGTGGAGGCCCCCACACCCTCAGTGCACTGTGACAGCCTAAAGATGTCCTTCAGGCAGAGAATGGGCACCAGGTGAGGCTGCATCTTCTTTAGTGAAGAGAGCAGGTCCTGGAAGTCATCTTGCTCCTTAGGAGGGTACACTGGAGCAGCAGCTACTTCTCCGTGCCTCCACACTCTTAATCAAACTGCTGCGCTCACCTGGGCTCAGAGCTCCCCTTGCCTCAACTCTTGGCTTCCACAGTGGTCCTGACCTGGGCCGTGCTCTGCTGCTGCCAGGCTAGCAGCTCCTGGTGTTGGAAGTGTTTGGTTCTTATCTGGGTTCTTCCTGAATGATTCAGAGCTTTTGCAAAACTAGTAACTGGAGGACTTGGCAAACCAAGAGGTCTCATGGCTGAGAAATGCTTAGGTAAATGCTTCCTTCAAACAACCGCAGATAAGAGGTTTGGGTAAGTAGAAGTTGCTTGCTTAAAGGTATAAATCCTGCTGGGCGGTGGTGACACAGGCCTTTAATTCCAGCACTTGGGAGGCAGAAGCAGGCAATCTCTATGCATTCAAGGCCAACCTGGTCTACAAAGCGAGTTCAAGGACAGCCAGAGCTGTGTAACACAGAGAAACCTTGTCTCCAAAAACAAAAAGAAAAGGGTGTAAATCCTGAAACAATAAAAAAGTTTTTTTGCAGAGCAATGGGCAGTCAGTTCACCAGAAGCTGATCCCCTGCTTTTGCTAAGCCCAAATTCATCCTAGAGTGCCCTTTTTCTTCCCAGGGCCACACAAAACAAGACTGGCAACCTTCCTTCTTAGCTGGTAGAAGATCTGGAAGCAGTAGCCCTCTGCCCACTTGTAGGACAGAATTCAAACACTGAGAGGTCAGGAGGGACATGAGGGAAGAATGGGAGAAGTCCTTCAAAATGCAGGAAAAGGCTCAGATTATTCCACAGCTTGACTTGCTGTAGATAGGATTTCTTTCTCTCTCTTCAGATTTTTTTTCACTGAAGTGTGGGGGATCAAACACACTCTCAGCTGTGCACTAAAAGGTGTTCTACGACTGAGCCGTGCACACAGCCCCTCACTGGAGGATTCTAGGCAGGTGCTAGATCCCTGTCTCCAGATTCTCTTTCTGCTTTTTGTTTTTGAAGGTGTTGCTAAGTAGTTCAGACTGTCCTTGAAATCCCTCTGCAGCCCAGAATGGCCTGGACCTATGATTCCCCCTGCACTTTTAGGCCCAGCAGGACCTCCTTTCTTTGGCAGCGAGGTAGCAAATGCAGGGTACCATACATGCGAGCCATGTCTTCTGTGAGCCAAGCTTTCACACCCAAAATAGGAGTTCTTTCTAGCAATGGCATTCCAGGATTCCAGGAAAATCTGACCTTTGGTGATATACAGATTGTGTCTGGGAACAACTGGAAAGTCCTAAGCATGGCTAGCATTATGTTTAGAACATAAACTGTTCACAGCAGAGGTGCGTGGCTGGAGGGTGGGCCTGGGAGGTTATATCCACTCTTGGTGCTCACCTGAGTTCTTGGCTTCCTAGCTGTCATGGTATCAACAAACTGTGTGGAAAGCTTCCATTGCTACAGACCAAACTGGTTCAGTCTCCCTGCCTTCCCACCATGATGAACTGACAGGTCTTGAATCCTGAGCCAAAATGAGCCTTACATTACATAACCTCAGTTACATTACTTCTGTTAGATAATGGTCACAGGAACAGGAAAAGTAGCAAATATCACTGGAAAGAATGCAGGGCTAGAGCGTAACTTGGTGGCAGAGCACCTGTTTGGCAGTCGGGAAGGCCAGGCTTCCTTTCCTAGCACCAAAAAGCAAACGTCAAAAGAGCTGGTTGTCCTAAGGCCTCAGAATATGGGACTGTGCTCTTGAGGCTGAAACCCCATCCCTTGGCTCGGTTCTTAAGGAGTCTGAACGTCTCAGAAGCAGGGTAAAAAAAAATGGTTACTTCAGCTCTAGAATCCCCCTCTAAGGTTGCTGTACAGGCTCCCAGCACTCGGACATGGGATGTCTCACCTGGGCCATGCCCTTGGTGCCAGCCACATATGCAGTGTTAGTGAGGTTGGAGGTGATGCTGCAGGTGAAGCTGCCATGGACCCCTCCTGGGTACTGAAGAAGCACACTGACAGTGTCATCCACACCTGTAACGAAAGCACAGGGCAGCACAGGGCAGGGGCACCCGGTGAGTCCTGGGACAGACTGAAACAGGCCTCCAACCTTGGCCCAAACACTTGGCCTGGATTTTGTTGGTGGTGTTTTGTTTCATCTCCATTTTTTTTTTTTGCAGGGTTTTATTTATTTGTTTGAAACAGAATCTTCTGGAGCTTGGGCTCATGCCAAACTTCTTAGGGATTAGACAATTATTTACAGACCCTCTTGCCTCTACTTCCTAAGAGTTGGGATTACAGACAGACACCACCATGCTTGGCTGAATAGGTTTTTTTCTTTTCTTTTCTTTTCTTTTTTTTCGAGACAGGGTTTCTCTGCGTAGTTTTGGTGCCTGTCCTGGATCTCACTCTGTAGACCAGGCTGGCTCAAACTCACAGAGATCCGCCTGGCTCTGCCTCCCGAGTGCTGGGATTAAAGGTGTGTGCCACCTCCGGCCAGCTTTTTAGTTTTGGTTTTTAAACCTTTATTATTAGTGTGTATATAGGCATGTTGTACATGCAGAGGGACATGTGCCACAGCACACCCGTAGAAGTCAGAAAACTCCAGAAAATTCTCTCTTCATCTTTTTCTAAGTTCTGGGGATCAAACTCTGGTCTTTTTTTTTTTTTTTTTTTTAATTTAAGGTACGTTGGGGTTTTGCCTGCATGTATGTCTGTATGAGGGCGTCAGGTCCCCTGGAACTGGAGTTACAGACAGTTGTGAGGTACTATGTTGGTGCTGGGAATTGAACCCAGGTCCTCAGGAAGAACAGTCAGTGCTCTTAACCGCTGAGCCATCTCTCCAGCCCCCCAAACTCTGGTCTTGAGGATTCCATGGTGAACACCTTTGACCTGCTGAGGCATCTTACCTGGACCCTGTTTTGCTTTTATCAAACAAGGCTTTACTGTATAGTCCAGGCTGGCTTTGAACTCATAGCATCTTCCTGCCTCAGCCACTAAAGGGCTGGGATTACAGGCTTCAACCACAATGCCCTGAATTAATTATGTACTTTGAAGAGTAATTGTATGGTATCTGAATTATACCTCAGGGCTGGAGAGATGGCTCAGTAGGTAAGAGCCCGGACTGCTCTTGCAGAGTAAGTGGGTTCAGTTCCTAGCACCCACATGGCACCTCACAACTGTCTGTAACTCCAGTTCCAAGGGATCTGATGCCCTCTTTAGGCCTCCCTTGGCACCTAGCCTTCACGTGGAACACAGAGGCTCTTGCAAGCAAAACACCCATACACATAAAAGAAAAACTGTTTTTGTTTGTTTTCTTGGTTTTCTTTTTTGAGACAGGGTTTCTCTGTGTAGCTTTGCGCCTTTCCTGGAACTCACTCTGAAGACCAGGCTTGCCCTTGAACTAACAGAGATCTGCGTGGCTCTGCCTTCCAAAGAGGGCTGGGATTAAAGGTGTGGGCCACCACCGCCCCGGCTTGTTTGTTTGTTTTTCAAGACAGGGTTTCTCTGTGTAGCCCTGGCTGTCCAGGAATGCTCTATGTCAACCAGGCTGGCCTGGAATTCACAGAGATCTGTCTGTTTCTGCCTCTTGAGTGCCAGGATGAAAAGCATGCTATTGCACAGCCCCGACTCACTTTTTAAAGGTATTACTTTCTGAGTCAGTAAATGACTAAATGAACCTACTCTTTCAAAAATATGCATTGTATTTTTATTTGTTCGTGTGCGTGTGCGTGTGCGCGTGTTCGTGTTCGTGTGTGTGTGTGTGTGTGTGTGTGTGTGTGTGTGTGTGTATGTGTGTGTGTGTGTGTTGGGGAGTGCCTGTGGAGCCCTGAAGAGGGTTTTGGATCTCCTGTATCTGGAGTTACAGGTAATTGTGAATGGGTGCTGCAAACTGAACTGAGGTTGTCTGTAAAAGCAGTAAGCATTTAATCACAATACCACCCTGAACCACCCTTTCCTGTAAAGAACCTACTTTGTAATGTTGTTACAATCATTCCATTAATCCAGGTAAAAAAGACCAAAATAACTTACAAAGTTACATAGATCACAGATAAGCCATTAGTGTTACTTTAAAATGAAATCAAGACCTGAGCATGTAGGTGGGTCGTAGAGTGCTTGCCTGATGAGGGGAAGAAAGGGTGGAATTGGCATGGCAGAACAGACCTGCAGTCTCAGCACCTGGAAGGCTGAGGCAGGAGGACCAGGAGTTCATGGTCTTCTTGAGCTACAGTTTGCGGTCAAGGCCAGCTTGTGCTACCTGAGACACTGTGGCAGGAAAATTTAAAACAACAGTAATAATTAAAAGCAATATAAAACAAACAAACAAACAAACCAAAAAAAAAAAAAAAAAAAAGAGGAGGCTGGAGAGATTGTTCAGTGGTTAAAAGCACAACTGCTCTTCCAGAGGCTCTGAAGAGGCCTAACTTAGCATCAGTGCTGCCATGGCGGGCTGCAGACTAACAATACTGGAACTAGGCCTCACCATCACAACAACCAGGGAAAGCCACAAACTGTACCCTGCAGGGGACCAATCAGAACTGAGACAAACAAGTATTCAATGCTCTAGAACATAAAGGATAGCTTCCATAATCTGTATATAAATGGCCAATTTCCTTGTAGCAACGCCAGGACCGATCCTTGTTTGACAAGACTTCTGTTACCTCACTCCTGACCAATAGGAGTTCAACCCCCATCTGAATCTGGATTCCCCTACCCCCATCCTTTACTCCTTAAAAACCCTGCCTCAGCTGAGCTCTATGCTCTCCTCGATCCAATCTCTATGTCAGACAGGGTTTCTCTGTGTAGCCCTGGCTGTCCTAGAACTCATCTGTAGACCAGGCTGGCCTCGAACTCACAGAGATCCGCCTGCCTCTGCCTCCCGAGTGCTGGGATTAAAGGCGTGCGCCACCACCGCCCGGCTGATTTATTTATTTTTATTTGGTGAGTATTTGTGTTTGTATGTCCACCACTTGCATGCTTGGTGTCCAAGGAGGTTACAAGAAGGTTTCAGTTCGCTTGGTACTGGAGTTACAGATGGTTGTGAACCACCATGGGGGTGTTGGGAATTGAGCCCAAATCCTCTTGCAGAGCATCGATGACCCTTAACTTCTGATCCATCTCTCCAGTGACCAGTTTTGTTTTATTTTGGTTGATTTTCGGGGACAGATCTCACTTTGTAGCTGTGTCTGGCCTGGGACTCACTATGTAAAGCAGACTGGCCTGAAAGACACAGAGATTCACCTGCCTCTGCATCCAGATTAAAGCATTGTACCACCATACCTGGCTAATTGTGTGTGTGTGTGTGTGTGTGTGTGTGTGTGTGTGTGTGTGTGTGTGTGTATCCTAGACAGGGTTTCTCTGTGTAGTTTTTGGTGCCTCTCCTGGATCTCCATCTGTAGACCAGGCTGGCTTTGAACTCACAGAGATCAACCTGGCTCTGCCTCCCAAGTGTTGTGATTAAAGGCGTGCGCCACCACTGCCCGGCTATTTCTTTTTCTTTCTTCCGTTTTTGGTTTTCTCTGTATGGCCCTGGCTGTCCTGTAACTTCCTTGGTAGACCAGTTTGGCCCTAAATTCAGAGAGCCACCTGCTTCTGCCTCCTGAGTGCTGGGATTAAAGGCATGTGCCACCACCACCCAACACCAACTGTTTGTATTTAAGTGCTAACCATTTGTCTTAATAGTTACTTCAATTCTTCATCGACTCCCACGCCACCCCTATTATTAACATTTGACCAGTCAAGTAATTAAGACTCAGCCATGCAGTTTCTGATCATGTGGTAGAGTGACACGTATGCCCGGTGGAGAGCTGACCTGCGTGAAAGAGTAAAGGAGTGCAGGGTGGAGCTGGGAGCCAGGTTCTTAAGGAGACATTGGGCCCTGCCTACCTTTCTGAGGCTGCCCTAGTTCTTTGAACTACATTTCCCAGAAAGCCATGGGGTAGCCCCCTGCCTAAACCACATATACATATGCCTCTGGCGATTCTGGGAATGGTAGTTCTTTGTGTGTCTAGTGCGTAGCTAGGAGAGGCGTCCCTCAAGGAAGTCCCTCTAGCGGTCTAACTTGATTTCTCTGGTGGTGGGGAGGAGGAGCAGGGGAGTTGAGAGAGAACGCCTCCTACCGCCCGCCATCTAGGTGAGGAAACGCAGTACCTGTTTCATGGATCCTTCCCATGGCTGAAATCTTCTCTGGCTTCTGCGCACCAAACACCGTGGAGAGAAACTGGACGCAGTAGATGCCTAGATCCAGCAGGCCGCCGCCGGCCTGGCTCCAGTCTCTAGACCGGGGTAAATGGTTTAAATCTTGCCCCATTTCTGCCCGGGCCACTCGTAGGTCCCCAACAGTTCCTTGGACCAAAACTTCCCGCAGAGCCTCCATAGCAGGAAGAAACCGGCTCCACAAGGCCTGCAAAGCGGAGTGGGGAGCCCAAGGAGACAGAGACATCAGTATTCAGGAGGTTATCAACCACACTTCCCTTAGGATCCTAGTCTTGAGGGATATCCATTGCTTCCCCTACCCAAAACACACCTCTAGCCTTCCCCTTTCCAACTGGGACCATCACTCCAGTTTTCCTTTTCCAACTGTCTCTGCTGTCCCATACATGTTTTTGTTCGTTTATTTTTTATTTTTTTTTTAGATAGGGTATTATGTAGCCCAGGCTGGCTTCAAACTCATTATGTAACAGAAGTGAGTCTTAATTGAGGAACTGCCTAGATCAGATTGGCCTGTGGGGGAGTGTCTTGATTTTTAAATGATGTAGGAGGGCCCAGTTCACCACAGGCTTCACTTCCTTTGGCAGGTGGGCCTGAACCCAGAGCCTTGAGTTAGGGAAGCACTCTAGCCTCTTCCCTAAAGATGAGATAGCATCTCTAGCCCTTAAAAAACTTGAGATTTGTGGGCATGGCTGGGCATGGCGGCACACACCTTTACTCCCTGCACTCCGGATGCAGAAGCAGGTAGAGTTTGAGGCCAGCCTTGTCTACATAGTGAGTTCCAGGATAGCCAGGATTATCTCCAAAAAAGGGAAAGAAAAAAAAACCCTTTGCCTGAAAAAGATTCTTCTCTGTGTCTCTTTCCAAACGCCCTCTCTCCTCTCTCCCCTAAATTCTGACATGGAGAATGTTCCACACATTCTGAGGAAGTTCTGTCCCATTTGCTAAGGATTGTGACAGCTATCATACTTGAATAAGCCCTCTGGCTGCACTTTCTGAGAAAGGGTCTCATGTAGTTCAGGCTGGCTTCAATCTCTCTATGTAGCTGAAGATAACCTTGCACTTTTTAATAAAGTTTATTGTATGTGTGAGTCTGAATGTGCACATGTGCATGCAGATGCCCCCAAAGGCCAGAAGAGGGCAGCAAATCCCCTGAAACTGGAGGTACAGGTGGCTGTGAACAAGCCAGTGTGTGGGCTGAGACCTGAACTCTGGTCCTCTGGAAGAACAGCCAGTGTTCTTAACTTCGAAGGCATCTCTCCAGTTCTAAGTGTAAACCCACCCTCCCTTCCTTCCTCCCTCCTTCCTTCTTTCTTTCTTTTTTTGAGACACAGTCTTGCAACCCTGCCTGCCTTGGAACTCACAAAGATCCCAGTGCTAAGATGGAAAGTGAGTGTCTACCACCATGCTGGGCAGCCTTGAACTTTTAATCCTCCTGCCTCTGCCTCCTTCCCAGTACTGAGATGTCAGAAGTGAACCACCGCACTGGTTCGTGTGGTGCTGAGGATGGAACCCAGGGCTTCCTCCATGCCAGGCAAACACTGTCCACAGAGCTACATCGCCAGCATCTCTTCAGCATCACTTCCTTGGCTTCTTCTTCTTCTTCTTTTTTTTTTTTTCTTTTTTGAGACAAGGTCTCACTGTGTAGCTCTAGCTGGCTGGAAATTTGCTAGGTAGACAAGGCTGGACTTGAACTCACAGAGATCCTCCTGCCTCTGCCTCTTGAGTGCTGGAATTAAAGCCCGTGGGCCACCACTGCCCAGCTGAATCACTAATTTTGGACGTCACACAGTTTGGTGGCAAATTTTTAGTCTCCCATTACCCTTGCCATAGATGACATCTCTGAGTGGAGCCATGGAATGAGTTAGAAACTGCACTGCCTTGAAGGTGACCTCCCCTGTGCAGGGGATGGAGCTGTTGGTGTGCCAGTTCCGCTTTCCCCGGAAGAAGCCACTGTTTGTACCTGTGCTTTCCTCGGGTTCACAGAGCAAGCAGTAACCGGAAGACAACCACAGTGTGTGCCTCTGGAAAACTGAACTCCTGCGTGCCGTGGGACTCTCCTGAGCCTCTGGTCGGCCCGACACTTCCCCAGAACTCCCTAGGGAAGTCTTGCACCAGCAACCCCGAAACAAAATGGCCTCTGTCTTTTTTGGTTTTCTTGTTTTCCAAATAAATACTTTTCCTAACCTGACCTTAGTCACTGGCCTCTCCAAGTGGGGAACAGTGGACTTGGGTTTGTGCTTCCAACAGATGCTAGATTCAGTTACACCCGGGCCTCACCGAGATTCTGATCCTTTGGCATTTCGACTGTGGGCAAGCTTGGGCAACTGTGTTTAGTACTGGCAGCTGGCGCTATGTGGAGGTCAGAAGGGCCCTCCAGGCTTACCTCCATCAGGAAGATGCCCTGAGAACGGGCCTCTGCAGCCATCTCCCGAACTTCTGCTGCATTCACACCCATGGGTTTCTCGCAAAGGACAGCCTTGCCTGCCGCCAGGCAGAGGAGTACCACCGACTTGTGCTGGGGATGCTGGGTGGCGACGTAGGCCACCTCTGGAGTAGAGGGAAGGAGATAGTCATCAGCACCGTCCACAAGGAGAGGCCTGTCACCAACAGTCAGGGACAAAGTGGTGTATCCAATCCTAATCGTCTCATTGAGAAGAGACTACCAAGCTTTGTGGAGGCTGAGGCAGGAGGATAACCAAATTGAGATCAGCCTGGGCTGTGTCAAATATCCAAGGGGCCAGGCATGGTAGCCCAGGCCTTTAATCCCAGCACTTAGAAACTGGAAACCAAGGCAGGCAGAGCTCTGTGAGTTTGAGGCCAGCCTGGTCTACATAGTGAGTTCCAGATCAGCCAGGGCTACACAGTGAGACCCTCTCTCAAAATAAAACAAAGTCTTGGTATACAGCTCTGTGGAGCCTAAATTGTGAGGGTCAATTCCCAATGCTGCAAAATAAACAAAGAAACAAATTCTTAACAGATTCCCTAGCATCCTGAGAAATTTAAAACTTAACACTCGGCCTTAGCTACAGCAGCCTGGCATCCAAGCACAATTTAATATTGTTAACCCAGCCTCTGGCCAAGTCATTCATTCTCACTCTGCTTCCTACCCAGCTGAACCTAAGCCTTTCCAAAGCCAGTCAGCTGCATCTGCTTTTTTGAGGGGAGGGTGTCTTGGAACTCTCTCTGTAGATCAGAGATCCCTCTGCCTCCTGAGTGCTGGGTTTAAAGACGTGTGCCATGGCTGCCCAGCGTCCGGTGCACCTGCAATCACATTTACCCCAGCACAGGCAAGAGACTGTGCCTAACTCCACCCCCACCTCCGTCACCCAGGCCACTCACCCACGTCTGGGTCCTTTGCTAGCTCCTCGTAAGAGCCATATGCCTTGGGGATGTTGTACTTCTGGGCAAACGCCTTCGCCCTGTTCAGGTCCCTCGCAGCCACTGCTACCACCTGGTGTCAGATTCAAAGGCTTGAGGTGGGACCAGTGTAGAGATAAAGCAGATGGGAGGCAAGCATGGGAAGAGGCTGAAACACGGAGGCTAGAGCCTCCTCCACGACGGCTAGGGACGATATTCCTGTCTGGAAGGAGGAGCAGGTGGATGGTGGAAAAGCCAGGCTTACGCTGTGCCCAGGCTCAGGCCAGCCTCGGCTACAGAAGAGTCCAAGACCATCCTGGGTACATGGCAAGACTCTGTGTGAATAAGACGGGAAAGGAGGCCCGGTCCCTGACTGCGCAACAGCTTCTCCTCCCTGTGGCTAAGATCCACCTCTGCAAACCTCGAACACCTCAGCTTTAAGAGACTGGGGCGAAGAGGAGCGAGCTGAAAACAAGTCCCTTCTCCTCTCAGAGGCGCCCGCCACCCGTCTCTGACATAGGGACTCTCCTCCACCCTCAGACTCTCATCCCTCAGACCAGGGACCTGGCTAAGAGGCCCCCTCTTCCCTTAGACCGGGGTCTCGCACCTGGTGCTCCGAGGGAGGCAGGGAGCTCAGCACGGTGGTAAAGTCGCTGGCGATTAAGCCAGCCGACACGATGCCCCAGCGCAGCGCCATCCTCACCACTGCCTGATGTCCTCCGTCTGTGAGGTGCTGCCCCCGGTGGCTGCTAAAGACAGATTGCTCTGCGGGGCTGGAGGCGGGGCCAACGGAGCCCTGCACTGCTAGGCTGGACCTTCAGAGGGGCAGGACTTCACCTCTGCGTGTCCTGACAGAGACTTTGACCTTTAAGGACACAACTGAAGAGGTGTCAGAGAGAGAAGCAGGCATTTCTCCAGTGCTGGGCTCTGCTTCTCTCTTCGACAGTGCCTTACTCTGTTGTCCAGGCTGGCCTGGAATTCACAATATAGCCCAAGCTGCTGATCACAACTCAAGGCAACCCTCCTGCCTCAGCTTCCTGAGTGCAGGGATTGCAGACGTACACCACCATGCTTGTTTTTCAAGTGTCCTATCATTTTTTATTTTGAGACAGGGTCTTGATATTGCTAGAAATTGGTCTGGAGTCTCAAGAAAATGACCACAGGATCCAAAGTATTTTTGGTGAGGCGAAATCTGTTGACTGGGGCATAGCTGTGCCAAATCAAGCAGCAAACACTCCCACCAGGGACTCACTGGGTTTGTTTTCATTGTTTAAATGTGTGTGTGTGTGTGTGTGTGTGTGTTTCCCCTGTATGTATGTATGTGTACCATGTGCATGCCTGGTGCTCTCAGAGGTCAGAAGAGAGTGTTTCAGGGGCTGGAGAGATGGCTCAGCAGTTAAGAGCACTGGCTGCTCTTCCAGAGGGCCCAAGTTCAGTTCCCCATGGCAGCTCACGACCATCTTTAACTCCAGTTCTAGGAGATCCAATGCCTTCTGTCCTTTATGCACACCACACATGTACCCGGTACACATAAATGCAAACAGGCAAGCCCTCAGAAACATAAAATAAATAGAAGAAGAAGAAACAAAACAGAAGAAGGTATTGGATCCCCTAGAACTGGAGTTATAGATGCTGTGAACCATTCATCATGTGGGTGCTGGGAACCTAACCTGGGTCCTCTGTGAGAACAGTAAGTTCTCTTGCTCGGATTATGTCTTTACACGTCTCTTTGATGATGGAACTTTATTTATCTCATTTAACTTTTGGAGAGAAAAGAAAGTACATCTTATTCACACCCTCTAGCTCCTTCTCTCCTACAGCACAATTTCATTCTGCCTCTTCTTCAAATCCACTTCACATCGTTTGCCTGTGCCTAGGTGTTCATAAGTCACGTATTAAGAGAAAGGAATCTCTTCAGTTGTCATAGTTGAGTTAATCATTGAACTAATGGTTATGCAACATCTGACTGGAATGGTGATTCCTTCCCATTTCCATTTAACCCTTTGATAGAAATGACAGTTGATTTCATTTACATTCCCTGACATAGGGATCACAGGCTAAGCTTGAAATAATCCTCTCGCCTCAGCTTCCCAAGCCTGACAGGCCTGGACCACAGGTGCTCCCGCTTCTTATAACCCCTAGAGCTAGGAACAGAATCCTCTTCCATGTCCCTCTGTGCTTCTTCCTGGCTCAGGTCACATTTTTGTTCTGGAAAACGGAATTACCCACAGTTTCTATTTACAGGAAATTCTTAAGAGAATTAACCAAGTTCTGTGGACTACTATGTAAAATATAAAAACGTATTCTCAACTGGTTGGCCAAGTCCACCTTCAGCAAGACAATATCCAGTTTCCCTTGCCTCGTAGACATTTATTTAAGACCTTGGCAGCTGGGGGCTGGAGAGATGCTCAGTAGTTTCAAGCATGTGCTGCTCTTGCAGAGGACCCCAGTTTGGTTCCCAGCATGCACATTGGGCAGCTTACAATCACCTGTAACTCCAGCTCCTCTCTGAATTCTGTGGGTACCTGCACTCCTGTGGTATACACACACAGACACATACATTCTTGGAACTGAAAATAATTTTTTTTTTTTTTTAAAGGTAGGACTTGGTGGCACCCACCTTTACTCCCAGCACTTGGGATGCAGAGGCAGATGGATCTCTGTGGGAAGTGGTCTACAAATTTCCAAGCAAGCCATAGCTGCATAGTGACAGCCTGTCTCAAAAACAAACAACAAACAAAAGCAAAACAAATAAACCAAAAAGGGCTTGGTGTGGGCGGGGCCCACAAGGCCCCGCCCCTCCGAGGATCTCTAGGCAGTGAAGGTTGCCAAGGGAGGAGAGGTGCATTTCTTCAGCAGTGTAGCCACTGTGCTGTATGGTGTGTGCTTTTTCTCTCTGAATCATTATGTGGTACCATCTTGGAGAACAATGCATTCGGCCGGAAGTCGCGGTCTGTGGTAACGGAATTACCTGCACTCCCTGGTAGATGGAAGAGGGGACAGTCACAAGACTGGTTCCTACGATTCCGCCATTACACCTTTCTGCGCAACCCCAGCTTCAGGTGATCTTGAGAGGTGCTAAAGAACATGGACAGTGGAAGCTTGGCTGAGATGCTCTATGATGTGGTTCCTGGGAGGCCATCATCTGTGTGTGATATGGTGAGACGTGTGTGTGTGTGTGTGTGTGTGTGTGTGTGTGTGTGTGTGTGTGTTACCCTTATGTAAGTGATGACCCTTTCCATACACTAATTTCATCAAAGAATATCCCCATTCCAGACGAGGACAAAGCCCCACAGGTGACCACCATCATGGTGTCCTCCTGACCAATGGGACATGAGTGGGAAGCTGCATGGGAATGGGCTTTGGGGAACAGATTGAGGAGCACGGACAAAATCCAGACTAGATGTTGGTGCAGATGTGTGTGGTATCTGGAGCTGTCACAGCTATGTGTGACCATGAAGGGAGTATAGTGTCCCAGTAACTGACAGTGCATGTGGGAGGCTGGAAAATTCCCTCATAATCCTGAAGCTAGTGTGTCTTAGCCATTTGTGTGTGCGTGTGTGCGTGTGTGCGTGTGTGCGTGTGTGTGTGTGTGTGTGTGTGTGTGTGTGTGTGTGTGTGTGTGTGTGTGCAGGCCAGAGAGCCATGCTGGATGTGTTCAACATGCTTCAGTTTTTTTGAGAGTCTCCCTGAGGTTTAGAGGTTGCAGAATTGGCTAGGATGTGGACCAGTGTGGGAGCCCACAACTGACTCAGTTTCCCAGTTTGAATCTGAAGTCTATTCTGAGTCCATAGAATTCAGCTTGCTTGCTCCAGGGCTGTGAGAAAGTCCTGATTAGCCCACTGGACGGAACATCCTATCTAGCTGGACGCAGGCTGCTGATGCCAGCCAGAGGTACATAGAGATAGGAAATGGAACTGCCTGCTCCTTGACTCAAGGCAGGATAGATATGGTTGAATGCCTGTGCTGTGCACTGCTCTACCTCTGTCCTTCAAGATTCCATATAAGCCGGGCGGTGGTGGCACACGCCTTTAATCCCAGCACTCGTGAGGCAGAGGCAGGCGGATCTCTGTGAGTTCGAGGCCAGTTTGGTCTACAGAGCGAGATCCAGGAAAGGTGCAAAGCTACACAGAGAAACCCTGTCTCGAAAAACAAAACAAAACAAAAAACCAAAACAACAACAACAAAAAGACTGTATATAAGCTGACTCTGAAATATACTCGGGACTGTCCGGCACTGACCGGCAGAACTCTGGACTCTTTTCTGTCTTCTTCACCGTCTCTACAGTCCGCACATCCTCACCCAGGTACTCAGCTGACTCTTGGCAGGTTCCAACAGACCAGCAACCCAAAGGGACCCACCTGTCTCTGCCTCCCCATTGCTGGAGTACGGATGTTTTATCCACGGGTCCTCAGACTCGCAGAAACACCTTTCCAACTGAGCCGTTTCTGTGCATCCCTCTCCCTTCTCAGACAGGATCTCACTGTGGACTCTTGGCTGCCTGAATGCAGGGATCTGCCTGCCTCTTTCTGTTGCCCAGTGCTGAGAGTAAACAGGCACACAACCTGCCCAACACCCCGTCCCCGCCCCCTGCCCTTGGACACGGGCTTCATATAGCCCAGGCTGGCCTTCACAAGGCTTCATATAGCCCAGGCTGGCCTTCACAAGGCTTCATATAGCCCAGGCTGGTCTTCAACTTGTTGTCCAGCTTAGGATGACACTGAACTCCTGATCCTCTTGCCTCCACCTCCCAAGGGCTAGGATCATAGGCATTCACTCGGATTCCCCATTTAAGTGGCCTGTGGCACACAGGGCCCCATACATGCTAAGCAAGCATTATAACAACAGATCCACAGCCCCTTAATAACAGATTTTTTTAAATTGTTTAAGCTATTGAATTCTTTTTCCAAGCTCAGGTTTGGGTTTTCTGTCCCCAAGGCAAAAATGAAGCAATGTTGAGGCTATGCTGCCATGAGCACCCTGCCAAACCTCTCAGAAGTGAGGCTTAAAGTGCCCATGGGTGCCGGGCGGTGGTGGCGCACACCTTTAATCCCAGCACTCGGGAGGCAGAGGCAGGAGGATCTCTGTGATTTCGAGGCCAAGCCTGGTCTACAGAGTGAGATCCAGGAAAGGTGCAAAGCTACACAGAGAAACCCTGTCCTGAAAAACCAAAAAAAAAAAGTGCCCATAGGTCACCTTGGAGTCAAGGTGGTGGTTGGGTGGGTGGGTATAGGTGGGACTTCCAAGAGGGCAGTATGTACACACAGACATGCTAATGTTTATTTGAGCCAGGCTATATTTGAATGGAACTGGAGCATAGAGCAGGACACAGCAGTGTGGCATGAAGCCAGGGCAGTGGGTGTACCAATTTTCAGGAGCACTCAATGGGCGGTTGAATCTCAGCTAGGTGTGCAGCCGTATCTGGGTACCTTCTGGGGCCATGGGTAGGTATTGGGCCCAGGAGGTCAGGGTATGGCTGGTGAGGTGGCGATGGAAGCCAGGGGTCCAGGCAGAGCTGACAGTTACTTGAAGAACACCCCATGTCCCAACCCTCCAGCCACTGAAAGGAATTGGGATCTCTGACCCCACAGAAGACAGAGTAAAAGGGACCAAGCCAAGCTCCTGGGACCCTGTGACACTAGGCACAGGATGCAAAGTGGCTAAGCCTGGAACAGCCAAGAGCAAACCAGGAAGGCAGGCCTGGAGCAAGCACTCCAGGTACGTGAGGGTCTCTGTCAAC